ATTCAACATTAACTGAGCTACTTTTTAAACTGACTTGTTAAAAAAAATCCTTGTTGTGGCCTTATTCGAACTAAGGTATATTGACGATGCATTAGAAATAAACAATAGTCAATTTCATTCCATTCCCGTGTAAGTATGTCACAGTGGACTTGAAATTCAAAACACCAGAAAGTTTGCTATATCGGCTTCATATTTGGATGTTTTACTGACGAAACACAATAAAAGCCAATTGAAAACAAATTTGTATGACGAACAAATTGACTTCATTTTTTCCATTGTCAAATTCCATTAGTTATTATGCAGTAATATAACACTATCAACTACTGATTGTGTTTATGTCCCCTACATGTAGCTTATCTGCCACCTAAAATATCTCTCCGAGTACAATCAATTCTTAAATGAGGCAGGAAAATCACTATTAACTTGATGTTCCAGTCTTTTAAATAGCTTTGTTTAAAGTCAGAATTTCATAAGTTCAAGTTCAAGTTCTTTATTGACTTTGAGCTTTATAGCTCATCAGTAAAAGCAAATGCAAACGTAACTGCACAGTTTTAAAGGAGAATACGATAATTATGTACATATGATACATACATATATGTACATGTATATGACATAAATGATTAATTAAACATGTCTTTTCTAGTTTTTAGGCTAAAGTAAGTAAATTTAACAAAGTTGCATTGTTCTTTCACATTTTCAACATTAAAAAGTTACAACAATTGAAGGTTTTTTCCCAACACATGTAATAGGACTTTAAGTATTTTTACGGTGTATTTCATAAGCAGGACAGATTAAAAAAAATGAAATTCATCCTCAACATAATCTGAACACCAAAAAACAATATCTACAATGTATTTCTGTATTGCTCTGTTTCAATTGCCAGTTGGTGTGAAGACAGTCTCAATTTAGAAATACATTTTAATTTGATATTTTGATATTGGTATGGGTTTCCGTAAGTTAATTTGTAAATTATGATTTGCAATTGAATATCTGTAGAAAGAACACTTCCTAGAGCTATCTATTTGAGAAAAAAATATTCTGTCTCGCCTGGTAAAAAATTCTTTGCTTTACAATAGGGAGGTCTACACATTCAACTTTTTGTTTTTTCCCATAATTCAAACATACATAAATTGCAGAAAATGCTTTTAACATTTGACAATCAGTTTTTTTGCATTATGCATTTCTACACACTCATGTAAAACACTGTAACAATGTTGGATGATACAATTTTTTTGGTCAGGAATTTTCTTCCAAACTTAATTATATGATAGATTCTGTGGTACAGCAGAGGATATCGTCCTTATTCAGAATATACAGCTACATTACATATTGTCCATTATTTTACTCCTAAAATATGTTCGCAAAAATCAAGATGTAGTTTTTCAATATTTGGTGATTAAAGTGAACCCAAAATTCTTGACGAATAATTTAAGATACTGCCAATAAAACAATCAAACAAAGACAACAATGTCTCATGATTAAAGTATATGTTTCTAAAATTCTGTTTTAAAACAGAGCAATATGGTACATGTATAATTACTTAATAAGAGTTATCTCGCTTAAACCATTGTTATTGCTTTCAAAGGGTGACAAAACAGTTGTTACCCTGCATGATTGCCTATTTTATTTAATTTTAATCAGAAGGGTGACAACAGTTGGCACCCTGTGCGTAAGGGAGACATATCACCTCAAATGACTTGCCCAAAACCAGTCAGACTGACTGTATAATTCTGAAGAATAATAATACCTACATGTATGAATCATGATGAATTTGTTTGATCAACACGGGATGTTTACTTTAATTTCCAATTCCCTTTTACATATTTGTATTGTTTATGGATTCATTGATATCGATCACTGTTTGTTACTTGTACTTTTAAGTTTAATAAAATTGCTTACAATTTAAGAAAGATGATGGGTTTGCTGATGTCACAATAGGCTTTGAAGTAGAAATCTTTTTGCGCTTGTTGTAGTTAAGTAAAAAAAAAGCGAAATATATTTTCAACAGTATACAGTATAAAGAATGAAACGTATGCAAAAAAGCTTGTTTGATATGTAGAAAAAAAACATTTATTTATATATGCAAATAATTAAAAAAAAAAGGATGCATCAAAGATTAACATGCTTAAATCAAGAGTATTCTTTACGAGGAAAATTGTAAGGCTAAATTTATTTCTATTTTTTCAAAGTAAAACTCAATAAATCAGTATTGATATCATATAAATTTTGCATTCAATTCATTAAGGAAGAATATTACAAGTTACATCGACTTATTTAAAAAAAAAAGAAAATTGTATCACAATCGACAAACCGACAAAACATTTTAGCAAAGAAATATCAGAAGTTTGTGTCTTACAAAAGAGTGGCGAGTTTGAAGAACTTCTGAAACTTTTTTAAAGTAGCAGATCATTACAAAGAAAATACAGACAATGCCCTCGAACTTGCAACACACGGAAAGGACGAAAAATCATGAGAGGCAGGGACGCGGCGAGTAGCTGAAGAAAGTTTCAGCACAGACTAATGAATAAGTGCCGTGACGTCAGAGTTCCCTTGCTATGTGCTACTTATATCTCCAAACTATAAATGGAACTGATAAATACCGTACAAATTGCCTAGTGAACTCGATGCATTTTCGACCAGAGCAGACAGCAATTATTTTTTTCACTTTGATAAATAGATTAAACCTTTAGTGGTTTTAAATCCCATTACACTTGTGGAAAATATATATTGCCATCCGTTAGCTATGTACAATGTCAGAAGTGCGGTGAAACGAATTTCGTGCCCACTAGAAAAAGCACCAGCGCACACATGCCAAAGGACAGGCCCGTTGTTTTAAAATGGCAATTCTTTTAATATGTTGGAATTCAATTCCCCGAAAAAAAGATCGAGTTATAAAAACGAGATAGAATATAAATGTATGTCCTAAATTGATTTTTTATAACGACCTTCCAATAAAGATTCGCCTTTAACCTAAAGATTTTGATGTTGTCTGTAGGGGGATGTCGAGCAAGATTTTAAAATCTGTCACCATTTATTATAGATAACAGTACTTAAAATTTCAGGAAAATGTTCTCAAATCCGATTAGATTAATATTCTTTCTTAACTTGTATACATGTACATCATTTTGTTATATTTTTCATACTACTTTATTTTACTGGGAGAAAAAAAAATTGACTTCCCGCTGTGTTTAGTTGAAATAATCCCAAGTTGTGAGTGAATTATGACAATGTTTACGAGAACATTATCCATAAAAATGTGTATTGACAGATAATATGCAGATGATTTTGCACGTTTCATTTTTATCGCGCAGGCATACAAAAAAATGACGTCGCGCACCAAACATGTACAACGTCGTGATGAAAATGCTTAGTTTTTATCTGAAAATTGCAAGGTTTTAATTTTGTAACAAGAAATTGAGCTGGAACACATATTTTGTTTTAATATATCGATTCTACTTCACATTCATTGTGCTGTGTCTGCTTCATGTTAATTTTACAAGCATAGTATGGAAATGCGTTTACTGGAGTGAACGATGCATTTTACTATATATGTCATTGAATTAGCGTCACTTGTTCTCAACAGCATTAGTGCATTAGTAATACGATTACAATAAAACTATGCAAATGAATCTGAAAAAAAAATTAGAGAGGAAATCTCGAAAGGAGAAAATTTACCGGTAGCTGATGAATTTTCAGTGTGTGCTATCAGTCAGACATTAAACCTGATATCTTCCTCAAACCATTTTCTTAACCACTATGAAAAATTACCTAGAGATTACAAGAATTTTACTATGTACGAGGGTTGATCAAAAAGTAATGTCACAGTGTCCATATATTTTATATTTGGCGTCATATTATCAAATACAATATACCAAAAGATGCACAAATATCAATATAATTAACATTGAAATCTTAATTTAATAAAGTTTATTTGAATTTATTTTACAGATGTTTACATTAAAGAGCATAGGGGGTGTCGCCGCGTCAAAACGGAACGTCACGTTTTGAAGTGTATTTTTTTCTTAGAATGAAAAAGAAAAACACATTAAGATTCTAAAAAAGCACCTAATCTCCTAATTTTTTTAAAGACACAATTCTCGTCACTTTCTAGTCTTTAATTGAAAATTAAATGACAGCATTGGTATTTTTGATCATAATCATTGTTGTTTTACTCTGTTGAATTTAACAAAGGGATTGTCGAAATGGGAAAAAGGGCTCGACGAGTTGTAATGCATTTTGCTTCAAAATATTGGAATCATCACTAGCGACATTTTCAATAATCAATCAGACTTACAGAATAAAGAATGTAAATAAGAGACATCTTAATAGATAGTTTCAGCAATTTTGGGCGGGTGATTGGTCACTGAATGATTAGCAGAGGACAAGAAGAACAAAAGATAGGAGATCGGACGGAAACGCTGACTGGTGTCTGACGTTGTCAAAAAAGACAAACGTATAGAGTGACATGTGAATTCTTAAGTTTTTCTTATGCTTCTGTTCAAAAAATTTTGACAGAGGGCTTAATTATGAAAAATTGAGTGTGTAATGGTACCAAGAATTCTTTAAAAAAGTGGAATTCGTGGAAGTGTTTGCGAATCACAAATATATTTTACTGAAACGAAGGGGAAACGCTTAAAACTATGACGGCGTGTATCCGTCATATGACCTTATATTTAGGTGAGGCGACTACCATCAACACGCATTGTTTAAATCCGATATTTTGAAAAGTATACATCATATTCCTTTGATTTTTCAGGTCTGGTTTGAAATAAATAAAGCTTAAATCATGTATAATTTTGTTGCTTTACGTCGATTTATAGCAATTTTATCAAAGTTGTGACATTACTTTTGGATCAATCCTCGTATATCACCATACATTGACTGGAATAAATAATAGAAATAAGCAAGTTAGATTAACTGCCAACTTATTGTTTTTTTATTTGTATAGGAAATCATTCATTTTTCTCTGATTTTTATGTAAGTTTATATACAATTTATAGGAATTGACGCATTGTCTTTGATGGAAGCTCTCAAAAAAAGAGATGAAGAGGAAAAGGAAGGTTGTTTTAAATCTTTAAAAAATGAAATGCAAGGGTATAATCGTATTAAAAATCTAAAAAAAGTAATTAAGAATTTTTTTCAACACTATGTAGTTTGTGAAAACATGCTTATACTTGTATATCCTACTATCAAAATTACCCACAACCTGATGGGATAATAACCTCTCTTGTCAAGTTAGAAAAATTGTTTCATAGTTTCATAGGTATGGTTGCTGGTTTTTCTTTTCCTTTTTTTTTGATTTTTTCTAAATGGAGTTTAAATTTTCGTAATATTTCATAAATATTTATTTAGTTTAGTTTATTTGTTCGTTCATCTCTAGACTAAAAATTTTAATGAAACGAGGGGGAAAACCCTTAAAACTATGACGGCGTGTATCCGTCATATGATTTTATCTTTAGGTGAGGCGACTACCATCAACGCGCATTGTTTAAATCCGATATTTTGAAAAGTATACATCATATTCCTTTGATTTTTCAGGTCTGGTTTGAAATACATAAAACTTAAATCATATATAATTTTGTTGCTTTACGTCGATTTATAGCAATTTTATCAAAGTTGTGACATTACTTTTGGATCAACCCTCGTACATCACCATACATTGACTGGAATAAATAATAGAAATAAGCAAGTTAGATTAACTGCCAACTTATTGTTTTTTTATTTGTATAGGAAATCATTCATTTTTCTCTGATTTTTATGTAAGTTTATATACGATTTATAGGAATTGACGCACTGTCTTTGATGGAAGCTCTCAAAGAAAGAGATGAAGAGGAAAAGGAAGGTTGTTTTAAATCTTTGAAAAATGAAATGCAAGGGTATAATCAAATTAAAAATCTAAATAGAGTAATTAAGAATTCTTTTCAACACTGTGTAGTTTGTGAAAACATGCTTATACATGTATATCCTACTATTAAAATTACCCACAACCTGATGGGATAATAACCTCTCTTGTCAAGTTAGAAAAATTGTTTCATAGTTTCATTGGTATGGTTGCTGGTTTTTCTTTTTTTTTTTTTGATTTTTTCTAAATGGAGTTTAAATTTTCTTAATATTTCCTAAATATGTATTTAGTTTATTTGTTCGTTCATCTGTAGTCTTAGATGTAAATGTAGAGGTGTCGAATGGTTCTATGAAATGAAGATTCTGTAAAATAACTAATTTTTTTATTCTAAGGTATATGAGGATTTGTAGATAAGAAAAGATGCGTCAATGTTATAGAAAGAATGTCAGTGTCCTGCAGACTTATCGATTACGTTTTTGACATAAAAATGTATTCTCTATATTATGGTTATTAAGAAGAAAATTGATTTTTTTTTCTTAGAGAACAAACATGTAATTAACTTTGAAATCATAAAAACTTTAATTTATTAAAGTTATTACTTGATTATCTTGACATTTTGATTTACTATAGTGATAACTTTTACAATTTCATTTACTAAAGTTATAACCATAAAGACTTTGATTGGCCGTAGTGTTCACTATGAAAAAATGTGATTTACTATAATAATGAAACGTTTGATTTTCTAGAGTGATAACTTTGAAAACATTGATTTGCTAAAGTGATAGCAATGACACTATTATAGTGATAAATTTTGATTTACTTTATTGTTCACTTTAACACCATAGTGATCACTTTGAAAATTCGGATTTAATGTGTATGTAAATCTCATGTGTCCGTTTTGCGCCTGACGCTAAAGAGACCTAATATGTGCAACTGTCTTTGTATTTGACGTGAATGGACGGGGATTATTGAACTTGTCACGGGAGATTTTGTGTAATTTAAATATATAAGAATAAGTCTACATTTTTGAAATTCAAATAACAATTTATGAAATAAAAATTATAAGGTATCTCCGTCTAGTTAGTAGAATATGCCAGCGACATCAACGATAGTTGAAAACATGGGATAATTTATGCTTAATGGGTTTTACCCGTTATGCAAATTATCCCGCGTTTCCAACTGTCATTGATGCCTGGCATACTCTATCAACTGGAAAGTTATTCTTCAAAAAAAAAAAAAAATATACTTCGCTTATTGCAAGTATTCTTTATTTAATACCAGAAATTCACAAACGTTTTGAATTATGTTTACAGAAACGACGTATATTGAAATGATTGGAAGTTCAGTGAACCCGCTGTTAGCCGAAATAGCGAGACAGATACCTGAAGAAAAAATACCGCAACTAAAATATCTCCTGGAATGTAAGTTTTATTCATTCATGATTTACACAGTTATTGATTAAAAATCAATTTCAATATGAAAATTAATATTGAAATAGTTTTATAAATTGTTAATATATAATGTTAAAATAAACAGATTTATAATGGTACTAACATCGATTTATAACTATATTTCATAACTATTTAAAACCTTTTTTTTTATCATAGCTGGCACTCTTCAAAAAAAAAAAATGAAATATAACTTTGCTGGCACTGTACACCTTTACTTCTTATCAGTGCTTCTTGCTTTTAAATTTGTATCCCAACAATATATTGCAGCAAACATTACGAAATATGAGAAAGTAAATGATGTGCAGGACGCTAAGAATTCTACACTTGACCGTTATGGTTTGCTTGATTACATGGACAGATTATACGAATTTGATGTAAATATATATATATTAATGGCCTACTTGGAAGCTATTGACGAATTAGAGCTTGTAAAGAAATGCGAAGAATTTGCGAAGAATGCAAGTTGTCCTCGAATTTATTATTCCAAAAAGAGAAAAATCAAAGGTTTTTCTTCAATTTATATCTACAATCATAAAAAAATTTAATAAATAAAAAAAATAATTTTCATTGATTTTTTAATAAAACTTTAATTTAAAATAATAGAAAAAAAAAAACAAAAAAAGAACATTTGATATATTTTTTTTCATTTGGGTTGTGGAAGATTTTTTTAAAAAAAAGAGTTTGTTAAAAAAGTTGGACAGAAAAGCAAAGCTTTAAAAGTAAGAAATAGATATTTTTTTCATAGACTTGTACATTATCTACCTTTCTGGTTATAGATAGCACTAGAGTATCTGTCAAATTAGCCACGGATATTGATAAGATCAATCTCGAGGATTTGACGAATATCATGAAGCATTTGCAGATATTGTTATCTTGTAAACCAACAGACATTCGTATAAAGGGAATTGCAGAAGGATGTGTTCTTTTGAGCTTGGATGTGAAAAATACATTACTTGAAACACTCAGGAAGTGTGATTTTTCAAGTATGCGCAAGCACAAAGTATTCAAAATCAGCATTATGAATGAGTGTATATTTTATTGTCGCAATCTAGGTGAGTATATCAATATGCATACTAAATGTAGAGTTATAATATATAGTTATTAACTCTTTTGGTGTTAAATATGGTTTATTGTTCAGCATAAAACTATCAATATCGACCTTCGCTTCGGTCAAAACTGATATTTCTTTGGTGAATAACAAACCATATTCAAGACCAAAAGAGTCATATAGGTAACATGTAACGTAAGTAACATGACTTTTCCCACATTTTTGTGAAAATAAACTTGCATTAATTGTACTACAAGTTAAATATTTGTTGTTACTTTTCCCTTAGCCACTACAACGAGATTTAAATGAAATTCCATGCATGATCTTCTACAACTCTAGTTATAAAAAACATTTTAACTGACAAAATAACTTTTTTAAATTAATTTCCACTGTAAGGAAAATTTGAATTCTGTGAAATATGCAAACACTTAATTTTTTCCCCCTCAGATGACAACTTTCACAAAAAAGGGCACTTCACAGAGAATTTAACAGAGAGCATCTTCAACTGGTTAAGCTGTTTAAAAAGAACAACACTGAAAATCTGTGAAATATGCCAGAGAAAGCATTCAGGTATATGACATGTCAAACGTTGCAATATTCGATCTTTTCCATTTGCATTGTAAAAACTTTCCATTCGTTTTTTATACGTCTTACTTGTTTTCTACATCCCCCCCCCCCCATTTATTCTCTATAATAAAAATATGAAAAAACGAACAGTATTTTAAGATGAAAAGACCATAAAACAATACAAAATTAGAGCAATACAATAAACACGGAGGTCCATTTAGATTCGACAAAATTTGCTACTTTCAAGTAAATAGAGGAGCCCAATTTGTGTTTGTAGAGAGTTCATGAACTCAATTGCATGTATGAAGAGTACCAATATTAATTATAAGGGGCACCTAAAACATATTGCTAGTGTTTAGAACATTATAGAGTAAACTTCACCAATGAAATCTTTTCTAACGAAACAGAGAACAATCCTCAGATAAAATACATGCAAATGAAAAATCATTGCAAACAAATAAGGAAAAACACAGTCATTTCAAAAATATACAATGTTTTTGAAAAATCAATTATACAAAAAATATTATACAATACTAATGATTGTTGACAATAAAAATGAATACAAATAAATGAAATAAAATCCATTCAGAGTATAAAAGAATAAAAAAGAATATATAAAGTCCAAATAGAAACTTAAACCGTACAAATGGATAATTGTACCATACAGATGAAAAATTATACATTTTAAATGCAAAATCATACAACAAAATGCAAAATTATTCAAGAAACGTACAATGTTGTACACAATACAAATGGAAGAGGTCAAATATTGCAATGTTTTAATTGCTTTATATGTATATGAAAGTGTTTATGTAAATAGAGAAAATGATGACACATATATATTTATGTATAAACATGTATTTATTTAATGACTTTATAACTGCTTCATTTCAACAAAATCAGGTAAACGCGAATAAGAGAAGAAAATAAACACCTATATTTGTTAAATTATGCTAGTTATAGGATTTTTTTTCAAAGAGCATGTATTTACGAGGGCTTCTCCAAATTTATTGAGACATTGTGTATATTTTTCTTTCCAATTAACGTCTTTTTGTGAAAATTTCCATAAACGTTTGACGAAACAGTCACGAAATCAGATGTTGAAAATATGTAACACCAATTTTGAAAGTCCCGGTGGACCCATAATAAAAGCGAAAATAAGTCTATTCATGTGAATAATATTTCAGTTTAATTTTGACTTTATGTTGTGCAAGTCAGAATTTGATCAGACGTTCGGAGATCATTTTAAAAGTAGGCGCAGAAAAGCAATCTAATACCGACGACTAAATGGATTTTGACGTCAAGGCGGAGAAGCGAGAAAACCTTAAATTTTGTATAGCGCTATGTAAAACTCTTCCAAACTGACCAACTTGCTAAAACAATAACACCCAGGGAAAAAAACATGTTGAGGGTTTGTTATATCATTGGGTTATTCTTTTTAAACCAAAAATTCAACCAGAGTGGAATAAAATGCCCCGGACGACAATTAATTATTACAGAATTAATAGCGTTGAGCTGCGTAACATAAATTTGCACAACATGATGCCAAGGCATGTTTTGCAACCTTAATTGTTTTTTAGAGTTAATTATAACAAACAGAGAAGAATAGATATTTCCCGATCATTATACATACGACAACATCTCCGGCTGATGTGGCATTTAATTGACGTAGCGGTTTATTCCTTTCTTATAAAATTTTAATGAATTTATTTCTGCCCTTTATGGAGTTAAAATAGAGGTCTCAATAAATTCCGAACAATCCTTTTACACATGTATCTATCATACATTTCAATTATGTGAAGCAATCTTTCCTTTTTGATAAACTAGATATCATTTAAATTTTGATTCTTCGTTCACAACTTTTTTAAAAACATTTGTGTCTGAAATATTTATAATATTTATCAGCGTAGTACACATCATAAAATGATATGTCTTTTATCAGGAATGTTTTTGAAAATACGCACAAAATCTTCTCATGAAATTTCTAACCGTAAAGCTTAAGAAAGCAAAGATTTTCAATTTTATTACAGTAAGACAAGACACATTGACACATATTGCTGTGAATACTAAGCGGAATTCGGAATATTTAAATAAAGTGCCTAACGAAGAGTCAAAGGGGGAAACTGGTAACTGAACATAACTGTGTAAAAAATAATAAGTAAAATGAAAGTCCAGCAGTCCTTTCCTAAATAATCGACGTCATAAATGTTGTCCGTTTTGTTGATGAAAACGGAATGCTTTCACAAAATTTATATTAGGATCCTTTAAATTAAAAGAAATATATGTTTAATGAAATCTTTAAAGTACACGTAGATCATTATGTAAAATTTAATGCAAATAAAATAGAACCACATAAACAATTCTTATTGAAATTTGAAGAAAAAAATTATAACAACCTAATATTCGTTTGGTAAACTGTCGGATGTCTGAAATTAGATTTGACTGTAAAGGCACTTCTCATCAGACTGAAAAGAAAACTGTATGCGTACTCCTCTCCGTAAATGATTTATACTGTATATTTGGTCACATTTCACGAATTCCTCTAAAATTTACTGCTGGATTGCCATTCTCATTATTGCACCTGATCCCACTTCTGATATTTCAGAGGTCTGTGTTTGCTCTGCTCCTATTTTGTATTGTTTTATTGACTTTGAGATTGAATACTGTTCGTTATCTTCATATCTTTCTATACAGTGCGTTGAGTGTAATAAAGGAAGGTGTCAAAATATATGGAGCAAAGCACATCTTAATTTTTTAGTTCTTTCCTAAAACAGCAGATTTTAATTATACCTATTCAAGATCGCAGAAGATTTTGCCTATTTTTTCCCTACATTAATCCGTTATCGAAAAGTTTTGTAAAAATAAGCCAAGTATTTTAATTATTTTTTACTTGAACTAAAATTACGCAATTTGTCAAAGAGAGACATCAAAACAGACGAACGTAAGGTTAATGAACATTTTACGGATTGCACGGAATATTCCTTGAATGAAAAATAAATTAGAGATAATATAAACCAAGAAAGTTTTCTGAATAAAAGGAATAAAAAACAAATTAAAATTTAGAAAAAAAAACGGTTCTGAAAATAATTATAATCATGTGTCTAATTTTTTTCTTAGGTTTGATTGAATTTAAACAATGTATTTATGAAGTATGGATATACCAATGCCTTACTGAAAAAAGGAAAATATCATCAAAACAAAAAAAAGTCTGACAAACTTTACATTTCAAAAGAACATATTTGTATTATAATTAATCGGGGTTCTCCATGGGCTGTGCTACTGTGTTGGTTAATGCGTGCGACACAGTAAGATCTGTAGTACTCAGAATATCCAAACATAAAAAAAATCTCTCTAAGAAACTTAAATCAGACAATTCTACCCTCTTTCAATTCTAAAAGGCAGAGGATCTAACTAGAGCTTCATCTTGCATAATTAATTATCTTTTAGACACTCTCCGGACTTGACTCATGTGAGAACAGATACAGTTAATTTGTTTTCACACCTCCATGTAACGGATAACTGGATGTTACATTAAAAATACATATTTTTTTTTTCTATAACGAAACGGCTTTCAACTTATGTCGGCGCTGTACGTCAAACATTTCACCGTACTAAAATTATTTTAATATTCTGAACTTTTTTGTAGAAATCTGACAAAAATCACGGAAAATTTACTTTCAAAATTGGAACATTATTTGAATGTATCGACTAGAATTTGTTATGCTTTTTACTTTCATCAATATGTATGACCATGCCATTTCTGTAACGCAGTAAAATATCAAACAATTCAGAACCCTGATTAGTATTAAGGAAGACCATGTTGTTTTTAATTCAATGTCCTTGTTAAATCATTGAATGTTTATCTATTCATTTAGTAGAATCCTCCTCGATATTTAGAGGAGTCAAAGTGGAACATATTGTGTGCGCTAACAAAAACAACGAGACAGACTTCGTGTCAAAAGATCAAGGTATGTGTATAAACATGCTGACATTAATTAATTTCTAAACTTGTAACTCTAGAATAATAATCATTTCATTATTTACGTCCTGCATGTATATATGTATGTATAAACTGATTTCAAAGTCCTGCTGAACCTACATAACCACTTATGAAGCAAAGAAAAATGAAGATTTGCAAAATATTTGAATTAAAAACTAGGAATCTTAGCTTTCTTTGAAGATGGGGTTTTTCGTTTTAACTCGGCCTTTGCAAATGCTTAAAAGCTATGCATTATTTGTTTTCTTAGGAGATATAACAGTGACATGGAGACAAACAAAGACATGTGTTTAATAACGTTAGATCTGTTTCTGTGGTAAAGGGTTTTATGTCTATGTGGCGAGTCTGTAGAACAATTTTTCGTGTGTTGCCACCTTTGTGACGTTTAATAATTTGTTTGAAATTCTCGAAAGTATTATTAAGAATGACATATAATTTTTAGCAGACACAAAATATCAAAATGAGAAATACAGCAAAACTCGGTTATAACGAAGTCACAAGGACCTATGAAATTACGTCGCTATATCCGTAATTCGTTATAACCGTATAAGAAATTCATTAAATATATATAGCTGGGGATCCAAGATGACTTCGCTATATCCGTGAATTCGCAATATCCGTGTTCGCACTAAGCGAGTTTTGCTGTAAGCCAATTTTGTAAAGGTGATAATCCAAATTTACTCTAATTTTCACTTAGAGTTAACAGACAAAACATGAAAATGGGTCTGAAAACGCTGAAACATGAATTTAAACAACAAACAAAAATGGGCGAAGTGGGATGGAAGAAGATAAATAACAAACTAATCCATGTGTTACATTTTTGTAATTAAAAACTACAGGTACTGTGAGCAATGAGCTCACTAAATGATACCCCCACCTCCCATAGGTTATAACTGGTGAAAAAGTCCATGTTTTGCTGTGGTCGGGAAACCCACAACATTTGTCGGATCAAAGAGTAAAATAGGAGGTGCACAATGGCAATATGTAATAAAGATTCTGTGAAAGTTGCATCAAATTTCCTTCAGTGGTATGAGAGGAGTTGCGGATAAGAGATGGGTACCCCAAAGCGTAACAGACGGACGGACGGACGGACAGACGTACAGACGGACGGAATTAACGATTACTATATACCCTCCCGCTTTTCAAGCGGGGGGTATAAAAATAATCATTTCAGTATTTACACTAGTACTGTATAAATGTATTTAGGAAATGTTTTCAAAGTCCAGTTGAACGTACAAAGCCGATTTTGAGGCAAAGGAAAATTTTTGCAAGTTCTTTGAATTAAAAACTTTGCATTGTTTTTTTTCTTTAAAAAGGATGTACTCAGCTATGTTAAGGAAGGTCAGAGTTCACATTCCTTGTATATTGTATTGTAAGTTTAACTGTGACGTCATTGAAATTTAACAAGCCACAAAAATTAATTGACGACATGATCATGCGTAAATAACAACTGGAATTTATTTATTGTATCGATTATTTATAAAATGTTCTAAAATCGCAATACTTGATAGCAATACAGTCGAGTAATAGAATAAAGCGTTTCTTCAAATATGACGTCATCAGCCTTGACATGACGCAGCACTGGTGATCCAGAGGACTAGATTCACTGGTTTAATAATAACAAAAAAGCTTAAATAAATATAATACCATTGCTAATTTTTCAACCTAATCATTAAAACTAAATGAAAATAATCTATTAAATACAATGTGTATAGAATATGAATTTATCTAGTAGATTGAAGCTGCATAGGGATAGGGAATGTAGAGAATATCGCTAAAACGATGAGCGTATTCGTGATTTACATCAAAAGTGCAAGGGCATAGACTATTTTGTTTGATCTGAAATTTGTAATATTTATTGCTTATATATTGTATATTTTGAAAAGTGCTGGGAGCTGAACCTGGTTTGCATAATAACATTATTTTTATTTACAACAGAATTTAAGCGAGGTGGAAATTTATAGCTATTATAAGCATTTTTGGCAAAATTTGAAGTACTTCGCAAACAGCACTGACTAGTTCCCAGCACTTTTTGGGAAGAGGAAATAAATTATTTATTTAAAAACTATTTAGAAAATATACCTGTTATATATAAAAGTTAATCACTTAATGTAAAATTTTTCCCTGTATTTAGATGCTTCTGAAAATTGTGACCATTTAAATGCGTTTAATTTTCAATATACTTAAATTTCATGCTTATAGCCTTTCTTTTGATAAAATGATTACACTGTACATTTTATATGTATTTTGTTTTTCCGTCCTTCCATCTTGCAGAAAGGTAATTACAAACACAAATTTATTAATACGATTCTTGCTTGAACATAATTTAGTATTGAATACATACTTTAAAAGAAGATGGAGAAAATCTAACAATTTATACGTTGAAAGAAAAAAGTTTGAAACAGTTTTGTCAAAGGGGTAAAATACTTTTTCACTTTTTCCTTGAAAAAAAGGAACATTGCATGGGGTTTTTGCAAAGTTGTGCGTTTTTTGATTGGGCATGATGATTAGATTGGTATTTTCATCAGTAATACTGTAAGGAACTTAAAATAGAATAAAATCAACTTATGTTGGATACTCTTTGAAAGATTAACTTTACAAAATGAGATCAAGAGTAAAATATTTTTACTGAAGAACAATTATTTCAGATATTATTATTTTGTTTATTTAGAAGAGTAAAGCTATTAAAAAGGATGACAAAGATTAAACAGAATATAAAATACACGTGCTACTGATAACGCATTTTAATTATTAACCGCCCTGACCTCTTTGAACACCAAATGAAGATTTTTCAATTACGAAATGAGTTCTGCCCAAAATTTATTACGTTATTGAATCGTAATTAAGTTTTCATTTAGTTTTCATAAATTCATCCCTATAACTGTAATCTGTAGAAATAATGAAAACTGTTAAATGATCATAGGTGGCAAGAAATGTATCAGTCTCCTGATCATGCAACAAATAATTAACTTAAGGTTACAGAAAAAGTTGCGTATCTTTCATCAATGTTCTGTTTAAAGATTTTTGTATGATAAATATATTTTTAAAGTGATTTAAACAATTCTGATTGATTAAAGGCGAAGAAATATGGCAAGATATTGCTGCAAAAGAGACAACTTAAGAGTAAATGCATATCGACCCCTTTGAAATTTGTACGGAATGCAGAAAAGATTCGAAGAAGGGAAAACCATTTAACGATTTGTGCCTACAAACCCTTGCATTGAAATTTAATTTCTATTCTTTTCCTTTAAAAATTGCTAAATAAATCTATAATTTAGAAGTCTAAATCTTGTATTGTTTTTTTTTTTTCAAATTTCGCGAGCACTTTTAAAATGCGTACACATATTATTGCGGAAATTGTGAAAAATGTAAAAATGATCACAGAAGGAGAATAAAGCATATATCTGTTTACGTTATTATAAAACAAATAAGTATCGTTAAAGGTTTAAGTAGATGTTGCATTTCTCTTATTATTTTTTTCTAGTGATCTACAGAAAAAATGAAGCACAAAATGATCTTAGAATTTTTTCCTTAAATTTAGTCGAAGAAATATATCAAACTGTGGCGACAAAAAGGACAACTTTTGTCCATGAAGTTCAAACGTATGGAATCTTGTACGGAATACATTGCAGATATCAAGAATGAAAAATCATTAACGGTTCTCGTCTTAAAAAAACCCCTTGAATTTGGGTTTAGATGTTATTGTAATACCTTTAAAATTTATTTTCTATATAATTCTTTAGTATCTTATGTAATTGTATAGATGTTCTGTGGCTCTGCTGAAAAAGTTAATATACCATAAAGAAATAACCTGAAAAATTTTATATTTTAAAAGTATATTATCAGCAGCATTATGAATACTATGTTGTTATTAGTTCAACGCCCTTGATAAATCATTGAATCTCTGTCTATTCGTTTTGTAGATTCCTTGTCGATATTTACGGGAGTCAAAGTGGAACATGATGTATGCAGTAGAAAAATGAATGAGAGACAACCCGTGTCAGAAGAAAATCAAGGTACATGTATAAACATGCTGACATAGAATATCCCAGTAAATAAAGTAATAACTATTCAATTAAGAATAATTTTTCTTTCCTTTTTTGAAACTGAGAAACAATACATCTAATCACTATTCATTATTTACATTGTAAACAAGGGTGTGTGAACTTTTTTGAAAATCCTGCTGATCCTAAAAAAGCCATTTATTAAGCAAAGAAAAATGATTTAGCAAGTCATTTGAATTTAAGACTTTGCACCATTGCTATTCTCTGTATAAGAATATATCCGTTTTTGTTCTGTCTTTGGAAATGTATTTATGTTATGTATAGGCTATGTATCAGCATTTGTTTGCAATATGCTGAAAAGTATTGTTGATTTGTTTTCAAATAAATAATTAATGTGTGTATGGGTCTCACATTTTCTGCAGAAAAATGTCACTGCGCGGAATTATTAATATTTCAATTTTTTAATGTTTTTACATTCAATCGATTTTCAATTTTAAGTCTCGTCAGCACTTTTAGAATACGTTAACAAATTTTTGACGGAAATTGTTGAAAATGAAACTTGCTCAACAATTGAATGATTGATACATCTGTTTCCTCATAATAAAGCACAAAGTTATCCTCTGGAGAAATAATTAGGTGTTGCTTTCTATTGATCAACATTCTTTTTGAGTTTTTGTACTGAAAATATTTTTGTAATAAACTGAAATTGATTAAGGAACATTTTCTTGAATTTAGACGAAGAAATATGTGAAAATGAGGCTTCAAAACAGACGACTGTAGATTCCATGAATATCGTACTCTTGGAGTCTTGTACAGAAACAATGGAAGATTCGATGAATCTAGAATCACATAAGAGTTTGTCTCTATTAAACCCTGATTTTAAATTAGATTTTTACTGTTTTACATTTAATTGTTTTACTTAAATAATTTCATGCTGTAATAGTCGAACATTTTATTGTTTTATTGAGCGGTGATAAAAAGTCAATGTTTGATCGAAGATGAAGATATCGGACCTGTCGATAAATGTAATATCGTTTATGTCACAGTAAAAGATCAGCTGCATTTTATTTGCATTCGTTAAAATTTGACAGAACTCCATCAAATTGATAAAGTTGAAATCATAGTCTCGGATTAAATAATAACAGAATATCTTATCATAATAAAAAGTTAAAGGTAAAGAAAAACATATTGAATGTGTATTCTCTGCCACGATGCCTTTTTCCACCCCTTGAACCAAACTCTTTGGTTCTTTGCTCCGACAAAACACATGTTGCCATATGGAACAGTCGATAAATGCATAACATTGTATATTATTGATATTGATTTTTTACTCTGTTGAAAAAAGTAAATATACCACCAATACAAAAATATGAGCCTGACAAAATTTACATTTCAAAAGTATAACATCAGAAGCATTAAAGAAGACCATAATGTTTATAGTTCAAAACCTTTGAAAAATCATTGAATATTTGTCTGTTCATTGTGTAGGTTCCTTGTCGATATCTAGAGGAGTAAAAGAGAAACATGATGTATACGCTAGTAAAATGAAGGAGACACAATCCGTGTCGGTAGAAAATCAAGGTACATGTATTAATATGCTGACATAGAATACTCCGATAATTAAAGTAATAACTAATCAATTTAGAATATTTCATTTCTTACCTTTTTTATAACTGAGAAACAATATTCATATTCATTATTTATCTTGTATACAAGTGTGTGTGTGAACTGTTTTAAAAGTCCTGCTGAATATAAAAATTAATTTAGCAAGCAAACAGGAATGATGTTGCAAGTTATTTGAATTTTAACCTTTCCTCCATTGTTATTTTTTGAATAAGTGTATATATGTTTCACTTTGTCTTTTGAAATGTATATATGCTACATATTGGCATTTATGTTGCATGTGAGCTAATCTGAATCCATTTATAAGATATTCCTGAACCAGGTGTCCGAATAGATAACTCTCCGATGAAATTAAATATGTCTCTGTATTCAGGGACTTCTGTAATATTTAACATTAAATTCCATTCCAATGAATTTTCAATATATTTTTCAAGTTAAGCCCTAAAAAGAAGCGAGTCACTTCGTAACATAACGAGAAACAAATACTTATTATTAAACATCTATTGATAATACTCGAATTTGATTGGCAAGTAGGAAAACTTTAAAACACAACAATGACTCCAAATGGTACTGTTTACAGCAATACTAACCTAGGAATATTTGCACGTGGGATATAATGACCCGGTCATTATTTTTAATGACCGCTAAAAATGACCGCTTAATCAAAAATTCGTTTTTGAGTAATGTTAATGCGTAAAATAATAATTATTCGAAAAAAAACAACGTTTTTGAAATTTTGCATTGTCTGTTTTGCATTACCATACAGAATACGGTAAAATGTTATCGTTACAATATATCGTTTCAATATATCGTTACAATTCAGTTCAATAGAATGTAGAGGCGGCTCTTCTAGTTAAATTCTGTGTTAGATTTTGACTGTGTAGAGGAAAATTAATCGTTAGTTATAACAATGTATGTCGCTATCAACCATATATTGTTTTAATCAGTAAATCGTGATGCAAAAACTTACACATGCAGATTGTAGACGCCAATGTAAACAAATGCACTATACGGTCTGTAGCAAATCCCGATCCCCATCAAAGAAAGAATTGATAACGGTTAGAGATTCACACTTTTCAATACATATCGGTATAATAAAACAATTAATTACCCCTTGTGAGTTCAGCATGGTGAAATAAGGACCCGCGACCTGGCCCACGAAGTGACCGAGGCCGCGTAGCGGCCGAGGTCAGGGCAGGTCATCGAGTTGGCCAGGTCGAGGGGCCTTATTTCACCATGTTGACCTCACAAGGCGTAATTAATTGTATATTATAACACTGAATTTTTTCCCCCAAATTAAGCATCGATTTCGATTAAAAACAATAAAGTAAATTTCTTTTTACTTTCCCCTCAATTGCCGATTTAGAACACCAATTAAACATGAGGATATTCACCAAATGATTTAGCATCAAATATATACTTTAAAAAAGTAAAGAATAAATGAAAATTAAAATCGTGAACACGTTTTTTGATAAATTTTGAAGGTGTTTTAAAGTTAAAAAAAGGTTTAAAAAATGTTCAGTATTTTGTTTTAAAAATCAACACTTTTTCATGTACATGTACTAAGTATGTGATTTTTGGAATGAGCGTTTTCCTATTTGGCATGATCCAAGTATATCAGTGATATTGTTATCAGTAACACTGTTCAAGGAATGTGAAACGCAATAAAATAAACGATTTAGATATTCTGTCCAATGCAATTTAAAAGAAAAGATAAAGAGTAATTTTTTTCCTTTTTATTACATTTAATTATTTTAGCTTATAAGACGCGTTGAAGTATTTGAAATTTGGATAAAAAATCGTAAACAGGTAATACAATACACGTGCTATTGTTCACACATTCTCAAAATTAACTGTCCTGATCTCTTTAAAAACACAAATGAAGTATTTTCCAGTTTTGAGATTAGAACTCCATCCATTGTTTTTAATTCTTTTAAATTAAAAAAAAGTATTAGAAAAAGAATTGCAGAAGTTTAAAGTCCAACAGTCCATTCCATCCCTATGGAAGTCAAAATATTTTTTTTCTATTTAGCTTCATAAAATTGATTGCTGATAGACAAATATGGGAGTCGTCAAGAGATTTAATTAGCATCAAATAAAAAACTTGAAATAGTTTTCAAACAAGTATGTCAAATGTAATAATAAATTTATTCCTGTCGTTTCACATCAACAGATCTTGTTTAAATGTGTGCATTGCAATTGCATTACATCGCGACATTCTATGGTTACCTTTCGATTGTTGTAACTTAAATTGCTGTTAATATGAAGCTACTAATATTCATTTTGCTAAAATGGATGTTGTTGATTTGTTTTTAAATATGTATAGGCAGTGTATAGGCATCGCATTTTCTGCAGAGAAATGTCATTAAGCGGAATTATTAATATTTCAATTGTTTAATGTTTTCCGTTGCGGGAAATTGTGTCGGATTTCCCTTTTAAATCTCTTTAGCACTTTCGGTATACAATGACATATTTGTAAGTTGGAAAAAAAATGATTACAGATTTAAAGATTCATAAATCTGTTTCTTTATCATAAATCTCAGAGTTATCCTCTTGAGCTGTAAGTAGGTGTTGCTTACCATTCATCAAGATTCTTGTTGAGTTTTTGTACTGAAAATATTTTTGTATTAAACTCAAATTGATTTAAGTACATTTTCTTGAATTTAGACAAAAAAAATATGTAAAAATGAGTCTTCAAAACAGACGACTGTAGATTCCATAAATATCGGACCCTTGGAATCTTGTACGGAAACGATAGAAGATTCGATGTATCCAGAATCACAAAACGGTTTGTCTCTACGAAACCCTGATTTTGAACTTGATTTTTACTGTTGTACCTTTAATGTTTTTTCCTTATAAAATTATATGCTGTGATAATCTAACACTTCCATTGTTTTACTGAGCGTTCATAAAAAGTTGATGTTTGATCGAAGTTGAAGATATCGGACCTGTCGATAAAATATTATATCGCGATCACAGTAATCGGGGATCAGCTGTATTCTATTTGCATTCGTTGGAGTTCGACATAACTCTGCGAAATTGATTAAGTTGAAATCGTAGTCTGGGAGTCAATAATAACAGAATGTTTTATCATAATAAAAAGTTAAAGGTATGCAAAACATAATGAATGTGCGTTCTCTGTCAATATGCCCTTTTCCCACCTTGAACCAAATTCTTTGATTCTTTGCTCCGACAAAACACATGTTGCCATAAAACACAGTCAATGCATAATATTGTATGTTATTGGTGTTGCTTTTCTACTCTGCTGAAAAAGTAAACATATATACCACCAATACAAAAATATGAGCCTGAAAAATTTACATTTCAGATTATAAAATTACTTGCTTTGAAGAAGACTATGTTGTTTATAGTTCAAAACCTTTGAAAAATCATTGAATATTTGTCTGTTCATTGTGTAGGTTCCTTGTGGATATCTAGAGGAGTAAAAGAGAAACATGATGTATACGCTAGTAAAATGAAGGAGACACAATCCGTGTCGGTAGAAAATCAAGGTACATGTATTAATATGCTGACATAGAATACTCCGGTAATTAAAGTATTACTCCCTTCCTATGATATTGTGGGTTCTATGGTATCGCGGTATTTCTGTTTATGAGCTGGCACGCGCTGAAAACGGCACGTGATAGCCCGATATTTTTTGACATTGTAAACATAGCCATGTTGAATTCCCTGACAATTTTTTTAGCAGAATTTCGCATCCTTTGATTTGTTAACTTCATTTCTGTAATATTTTCGCACTTTGGTCAACATTGATAAATTTTACGAAAACTATGTGATATATAACAATATGAAAACGATGAAAAAACTAAGATAACAAAGTTCAATCGGAACATGCTGTAGTTTGGTGTTTACTATGAAAACGAGGCTTCGAAGATCACGTGTTTTCCGTTTATGGAAGTGGAAAAAAAAATTAAAAAGTATGGAAAACAGTTTTCGTAAAAAATTAACAAAAATTTCGCTGGTCAAAAAAAAAATTGAACACTGCAGTTTGAGCTGAAACATTACGAATTATTTATCAAACAAAGCTTTTTTGTCTTTTTTTATCAAAATATTTTTCACTAGAGAAAAAATATGTTAAAGAATTAAAAATTCAAAGTTAAACCAATAAAAATAAAAAAAAAAAATCAGCAGGGTTTTTTAAATTCAGGAAAAATATCAAACCGATAGATACTTGTTAAATATTTACAATTTGTTACTTTTAATTTTTTTTATTTTCTATTTAAATATTTGTGTCAATTTTCTCTTTATTGCATTTTTTATATTTAAAAAAAAAATATTGTTCATTGTATCAAAATTTGCCTACTACTACTACTTTTCATATCCTAATTTTTTAGAGTAAAAAGAAAGATATTATTATAAAGACTTCAAAAGAGTTTTGCATGTCTGGAGAGAACATGTGATGTTTGTAAATGAAGAATATCTGTCTAAAAAGCAACTATAATCTATTTTGTTCTTAAAAACCCTATTAAAGATAAAAACAAGGGATAAAATCCTATTAGTAAGAAAATAAATTATATCTCACTTCAATGTACAAGTGGGTGGAAGGAGAAGTACAGTACTTCTAATAGCCCCCGGCCCCCATTCTTAAATCTACATATACTTCAATGGTTGATAATCTTTTATTTCACTTTGAAGTACAATATCATAAAAGTTTAATTACAACAAAGTCATTAAATTATAGGCATATCATAGTTAAATTGCACTTTTATTTTTTTTTAAATATGACACTGCTAGGCCGCCATAGTCTAGTGTCAACCGGATACCGCGATACCATAGAACTCTTTCGCGTTGTAAGGTAAACAGTGGTACTTCTTTTCGATAGCTCCTAGTAGATAAACAACATGATGAAAATTCAACATCAGAACAATAAATATAGATAAATAATAGAAGAAACTGAAAATGATATTACTTTCTTGAAATATCCCAGGTATGGTAGATATTTTTACAAAATAGGTTAACTACCGCGATACCATAGGACCCCAGCGTAATAACTAATAAATTTAGAATATTTTATTTCTTACCTTTTTTATAACTGAGAAACAATATTCATATTCATTATTTATATTGTATACAAGTGTTTGTGTGAACTGTTTTCAAGCCCAGCTGAATCTAAAAATCCATTTTTTAAGAAAACAGAGATGATGTTGCAAGTAATTTAAATTTAAATATTGCACCATTGCTCTTCTTTGAATAAGGGTATATCCGTTTTACTTTGTCTTTTCAAAAGTATTAATGCCACATTTTAGAATTTAATTGCAAGTAAGCTAATGTAAAACCAATTATAAGATATACCTGAATATGTAGACCGTTTAGAGAAGTGTCTGATAAAATAAAAGCTGTTTATGCCTCCTATAAGAAATATCAGCCTGATAGTGCAGTGAAAAACAACCAAACACAGATATGCAGTTTTGTCGATTATGTCATTGTTTCTGAATTCAGAAGCTTCTGTAGTATTTGATCATTAAATTCCAATCCAATGAATTTTCAAGTTAACATCTAAGCGGAAGCAAGTTCATTTGTATTATTACAAGAGACAAATACAAATCAAAACACAGATTTTTTCCCCAAAATTTAGCACCCATTTCAATTAAAACAATAAAGTAAATTTCGTTTTCCTTCCCCTCCCCCCAATTGCCAAGAGATGATTTCAAACACATTCCATATGGGAATATTCACTGAATGATTAAGGATCAAATACATACATTAACAAGAGGCCCATGGGCCACATCACTCACCTGAGCACTAGGGTTAGGAAAAAGTAGAAAATGGCTTTTTATTGTAAAGTTTAAATAAAAAAAGTAGTCCTATGACCAATCATAAATCTGTATTTTTTTTAAATGGTTTTTAAAAATTTTCCTTTATATATCTTTAAAAATTTTGGTCGGCCATTTTGGCCCGCCCCTGACCCAGGGGGTCATGATTTGAACAAATTTGAATCTACACTACTTGAGCATGTTTCCATATAGATATGATGAATTATGGCTTTGTCATTCTTGAGAAGAAGATGTTTAAAGTATTTGCCTATATATAACTATGTAAAAGTTTGGTCGGCCATTTTGGCCCCGCCCTACCCTGGGGGTCATGATTTGAACAAACCTGAATGTACACTACTTCCATGCTTCCATATAAATATGATGAATTATGACTTTGTCATTCTTGAGAATAAGATTTTTAAAGAAAGTCCCTATATATTCCTATGTAAAATTTTGGTCGGCCATTTTTTGCCTCACCCTACCTTCTAAGGTCATGATTTTAACAAACTTAAATCAACACTACGTAAGCATGCTCCCATATAAATATAATGAATTATGGCTTTGTCATTCTTGGGAAGAAGATTTTTAAAGAAATTTCCTATATATTTCTATGTAAAACTTTGGTTGGCTATTTTGGCCCTGCCCTACCCCCGGGGGTCATGATTTTATCAATATTGAATCTAAACACCTGAGCATACTACTATATAAAAATGATGAATTATAGCTTTGTCATTCTTGAGAAGAAGATTTTTAAAGAAATTTCCTATATATTTCTATGTAAAACTTTGGTCGGCTATTTTGGCCCTGCCCTACCCCCGGGGGTCATGATTTTAACAATATTGAATCTACACTACCTGAGAATGTTTCCCCATATAAGTTTCATCTTACCTGGCACAGTGGTTCGCGAGAAAAAGATTTTTAAAATATTCCACCAAATTTTCATTAATTCCCAATTATCTCCCTTTGAATGAAGGCGTGGCCCTTCATTTGATCGAACTTGAATCCCCTTTACTGAAGGATACTTTGTGGCAAGTTTGGTTGGAATTGGCCCAGCGGTTCTTGATAAGATGTCGAAAATGTGATTAGTTTACGCACAGACAGACGGACAATGTGATCAGAAAAGCTGGTAAAGGATATATAAAACTTAAACTTAAAAACACGTTTTTTTTGATAAATTTTGAAATTGTTTTATAGTTTTGTAAAAAAAAAGTCTCAATATTGTTCAGCATTTTGTTTAAAAAGCCAACAACACCTTTTTTTTTAATGTACATGTCCAAAAAAATTATTTTTGTAATGAGCGGTTTTTTATTGGGCATGATGCATGTAAATAATCAGTGATATTGTTATCAGTAACACTGTTCAAGGAATGTGAAAAGCAATAAAATAAACGATTTAGATATTCCGTCCAATGAAATTGAAAAAAAAAAAAGATAAAGAGCAAAAATTCTTTTTAAAGAACACTTTATCACATATAATTATTTTAGCTCATACGACGCGTTGAAGTGTTTAAAATTTAGATTAAAGACCATTAACAGGTAATGCAATGTTAACACATTCTAAAAACTAACTGTCCTGATCTCTTTAAACACCCAAATGAAGTATTTTCCAATTTTGGGATTAAAACCCTTTCTATTGTTTTTAATTCTTATTGAATCATAAATGCTTTCAACAATTCAAGTCTCATTCGAATTTTAAAGAGCGTGTCTCAGAGAAAAACATGCAAAATGGTCCAGTAGCAAGGTTCTCCAATTGCCTTCAAATTTTGCGAGCTAAATCTAGTATGCATGAATAGAAATTGGACAAATTTTTAATGTGCCAACCATACCGGTATACCTTATATGACCTGTTACTAAAAATAGCTCTTATGCAACAAAATCTCAGGTCATATTTTATACTTTTTAGTCATATTTGGAGAAGAATTAAAACTGCAACTCTCATTATTATCAAAATATTTAATTTTGAAATAAAAGAACACAGGTTAGTACTTTTTAAGTGCATAGTAAAAATGACTGACATCCATTGTGTTTTAGTGCAAAAAGGTCATAGAATTGACAATGTTCCATATTTTTGAAAAAATGTCAATTTTCTAATAAATTGAAATAACACTAACTGCCATAATGGTAATTTTAATCTAGTAAATTTTACTGCTTATTGTTAAGGATTATTATGTGAACAAAATATGAAAAAATTGCTGATGGCAAATTTAAACTTTAGTATTTATTGAATGTCAAAGTTAGTTAATTTTTCACACTCAAGGTATCAAAATTACTTAAAGTGTTATACATAAAATACTTCAAAACTTTTCAAAACATTAAATAAAAATCTTTTTGTGGCAACATTTATGTCTGTATTTTAAAAATTAAACATATTAAGTACAGTTCAATAGATAACACCTCTATAAATCAAAATAATCCATTAGAAAGGGGTGTGTGTGGGGGAAGGGGGGGGGGGTGTTACACACAATATTATGATTCCTCTAACATCTCTTAAACTTAACATGTAAGGAAACGAATATTGTAAATGTTTTAAGTGAACAAAAGCTAACTTCTGTAATAATTAATAAGTTTGATTATTTTCCCACATCTTTTGAATGTGATAGCTCTCCTGAAATAGAATTCAGAAAACAAGTGCATAAAGGTCAAAATAAGCATTGCGATCTCTTATTCTACAATATATGGTATGTAATACATGAACTTCATCTACATAATGTTGGTTACAGTAAACACACTTAAAATACATTCATGTTTACAGTTACTGTAGTTAATTTCATTTCTGTTGATTCCAAAACATGTTACACTGTATTGGGAACTAATTACTTTTATAATGATTCATACATTCTTTGATAGAAGTCATATTGTGATGTAGGCAACAGAGATTATAAATTTAAATAACTCATTTGATTTTGATATTCCATTAAACTGAAAATACTGTAACAATCAGAATTCTAACATTTTAATGATCATGAAACTTTTGATCATAATGTAAGAATGTCAAAATCAATACCATGGTTCAGTATATTGGAACCTTTAATTTCCATGGTTCTAATTTTTTTTTTGTGTGTGTGAGGGGGGGGGGGGGGGGGGGCTAATTTTCAATGTTTTGGGGCATGGAGAGACCCACACATTTATGACTATCATGAAATATAAAATTTTTATGCTTAATTTCTACTCAACACTTCAACAACTGCAAAATAAAATCAAAATTTCCACATATCAACATTTTTTTCTGAATCCTCGATTCCCATCTTTCAAAATATGTGATTATACAGGTTATAAACTTACTGAATATTTACAGATGTAAACCATACAAGTCATTTGATCTTCATATTCATTCGAGTCTAAAGCAGAAACAATATCTGCAAGTTTTTCATCCTCATCAATACAAACATCTTCAAAACAACTTTCAGACAACAATTGACTTTTTACAGAGGGAGGTACAGAGACACTCTTAGATTTTATTGACAAATATATGAGGCAATATATCCTCTTACTTGTGAAATATTTAGCTATTTTTCTTTCTTAAAAAGTCTTTCACCATTTTTATCAGTTACTTTCTTCAGCTCATCTGCCAATAAGACACTATCGGGGCATTTTCCTGTTCTGGCACATTCTTTGTATATCATGCACAAGTAGTCCTTTTCTTTCTTGGAGAATTGTATTGCTTTCTTCTGCTCTCCAGTGCCAAACCCATGCTTTCTCCTGTTGGCTCACTCTGGACTCCATCATCAACTCTACCTGATTTGACTGTTTGTATCAATAAATTTTGAGACTATCTAATACTTTCACATTTTGTAGCATATAAATTTGCTGCAGTGTTCCTTCTTGATCTTCAATTTCTGTAAGACTGATTTCCAACTCCCAGAAGATTTTTGTGATTGCAACATTTTGAAAATACTTTCTGTTATGATGAGTCCGGGCAGAGGTTAAACATGTATTGTTCAGTATTAATCTCTGTGCTTCCAGCAGAACTTTCATATATAAACTGCTTCATATTTCCCTTGATCAGTCAGCTCAAGGTGTTGGGTAAATGAAACAGTTCCACTCCTGAGATCCTCCACTCTTAGAAATCCCTGTATTACCTAAAATATGAATTAAAATGCAGCATAAACAATTTACTTTAGATGAAGGTGGTGATTTATTTTAAGACTAACTATAAAGTGTACTTTTCATAATAGGACCGTTAACGGTAGCCTAGTGGTAGAGCGTTCCCTTCATGATTGGGAGGTCCGGCTCGGGTTCGATTCTCATTCCCGGTGCAAAGTCAAACCTAAGAAGTAATAGGTAGTGACTGTTCCTTCACTAAGTGCTCGGCATCAGAAGTGAAAGTCATAGGTCTCTCGGATAACGGGTATGACCTTGAAAACGTAGGTCCCGTTTCATGATAGGCGCTGGCATGATAAAGAACCCTCACCGCTCAATGGCCCTGAGTGCCCAGTATATAGGTCAAAATTTGAAGCCCTTCACCAGCAAACAGTGACGTCTCCATATGAGTGAAAAATTCTCGAGAAAGACATAACCTTTGTAAACGGTTGAATTACAAATTAGAAGATAATGTATGGGTTTTTTTTTTTAATTTTGATGAACAGTGTTGCCATGGTTAATAAAAAATAGAAATTTCTGTGAAATACTTTCAAAAGGCTATTTTAAATACAGTTTTAGTCTGATTATAATATAATGTGGCAAATAAACTACACAGAGAAAAATTGTTTTTTTTGTTTTTTTTTATATTGATGAATGATTTTGTTACAGTAACTAAAATTGAAAATTTTCTAAAATTTTATCAAAGCAGCTCCTTCAGTTGTGGTTTTATTGCAATCTTTCCACAAAAAGAGGCTTTATCAAAAATCATTATTCTAGACCCAACTGCTACTTTTTTTCTTCCTTTTTCTGTTTGTTATAAGAACAAACCAATAGAGCTACAGTCTCAACAGAGACTTTTGGTTTGTTTTGTTGTATGTATGTTGCACTATTACAAAGCATCATAATACATGTAATATAAACAGGTATTACATGTACTATAAATTATAGTTATGCATTTTGGCCAGTTCTTCTAAAATCAACTGGCCCAGTGGGATAATAAGAGTTATTGAAGTATTGAGTTATTAAAAAATGTGACCAGTGAAAAATATAATTATTAATTTTCTAGCTCTACACTTTACCATATGAATTTGCTTCAGGGTTTTCTCTTCTGATTTGGTTGGATCCAATAAATACTGCAGCACATGGACAACTGTTGCTATGGGAAAGAATTTTAATCAATTGTAAATAATGTATAATTCAAGAGAGGAATTATAAAATATATGGGAGATGTTTAAAACCTCTATAATACACCTGGTATACTAGCTAGCAAGCATATACTGTCTAGTGCATATACAAGCTAAAATTTTCAGTATTAACTTTATGAGTGACAGTATATTTTAATGATTTTAATCAATTTTCTTGATTTTCAAAATATCATCAATTTGAAAAATTTATAGACGCTCAATTTAATTTTGTATAAATCTTTATGTAATTATGGTGACGAAATATTTGTGTGATCAGCTAAATCTTCAAAATTGTCCTTGCATGTATCAAAATATACTTATTTCCTCTATTAAAACCACTGTCATACTCCTTGGTCCAAACTCATACATTCATTATTTTAACTTCCAACTGAAAATTTTGTCCTACCTGATCCAACTGAACTGGTATATTGTCTCTCTCATTTTCAATCAATATTCTTTACAAAGGTAGGGGTAGCCCATCGGTCTGCTTTTGCTTTCTCCCTTTTGATCGGGACGGCAGCACTTTGGCTTTATTCTTTGCCATTTTAATCCTTAATTGTCCTGGACATACTTATAATTTTAATGTGCTAGTAGTGTCAATAGAAAAAATACCATTTCTATAGGCCTACAGCAGTACAGACTACAGAATGCAGCAAAACGATCGCCTCTGGTACATCATAAATTTTCCATACAATCCAGCTAGGGTATGTTCAGAGACTTGAGTAAACGAATATGGTTTGAAAGATCCTTAGTGTATTCTTCTAAATGAATTTATTGGGCCATCACCGCTTGAAATGTTTGAAAAATTGCTGAAATCATATTGTTCTTTTGCCCCCTCAGTGTTGTAATATCATTTTCTCCCTTTTTTGTATGGAGAGTTCTACTACGGGAGATAACTCTTCAACACATAAATAACACTCATTTTATTATCTTTCTTTATCAATTTTGGTGAATATTTTACACTTTCACGACGGTTTTAATTATGATTGTTTTTTCGGCATTTATTTACATTAAAATCAGTTTATTAATCATCAACTGAAGCAATATTCATTACATTTGAACAATTTTAAGATACAAATGGAGAGCTTGGCTAACATCGAAAGGTCATCATTTCCACCAATTATTTGTTATATGTCCTATTAAAAGCCATCAGTGAATTTTTGATATTTGATAGAGCATAAATAAATTATTATAAAGCACATTATTAGATAAAATTATTTTCACCATTTAAGCTGTACCATTGCACTAAACAAGGATAACAAATCTAAAGTTCTAAATTTAGCTTTACTTGTGGCTCGATCATAGAATACATATAGATGCAATCATTGTGAAAAATAATTTTTTTTCATCTTTGACATGTATGTGTTGATGATATAATTGATATCTGGCATTGCAAAAATTTTTCAATTGATTTTGCAAGGTCTCAAACTTTCATATTTGCACCTACTATTTTATGCCAATTTTTGCTAAATATAGAAACAGGGCTGTTACTAAAAATAGAAACACGTGGCACACTTTTCAAATTTAAATTTTAGATCCTCAGACAACCTAGACCTTAAAAATATATGATAAAATAAGAAGTTTTGTAGACCCTCCTGGACGATTTTTCAGATTTTGCATGTTTTTCTCTGAGACACGCTCTTAAAAATTAAAATAAAAGTATTATCAAAATAAAAGAATTGCAGAAATTTAAAGCCTATCATGTAGGTCAAGTTTTTTTCCTATTATCTTCATAAAAATGATTGCTGATAGACAAAGATGGGAGTCTTCAAGAGATTTAATTAGCATCAAATTTAAAATAAAAAAAAATTGAAATAGTTTTCAAACTAGTATGTCAAATGTAACAATAAATTTATTCATGTCGTTTCACATCATCAGATCTTAAATTTGTGCATTGCAATTTCATATTACATCATGACACTTTTTGGGTTACTTTAGATTGATGTTATTTAATTTGCCGTAAAGCTACTATTTTTCATTCTGCTGAAGAGGATATTGTTGATTTGTTTTCAAATAAATAATTAATGCATTTTATGGGGGCATCACATTTTCTGTAGAGAAATGTCACTACGCAGAATTATTGATTTTTCAATTGTTTCATGCTTTCTGTTGCGTGAACATTCAATCAGATTTCCATTTTAAGTCTCTTTTTATAAAGCACAAAATTATCCTCTGGAGATGTAATTAGGTGTTGCTTTCCATTTATCAACATTCTTTTTTAGCTTTTGTAGTGAAAATATTTTTTTGGTAAACTCAAATTGATTTAGGAACATTTTCTTCAATTTAGACAAAGAAAAACGAAAAAATGAGGCTTCAAAACAGACGACTGTAGATTCCATGAATATCGAACCCTTGGAATCTTGTACGGAAACGATGGAAGGTTCGATGTCTCAAAAATCACATAACGGTTTGTCTTTATGAAACCTTGATTGTGAATTTGATTTTTACTGTTTTACATTTAATTGTTTTCCTCATCTAATTTCCTGTTTTAATATTCTAGCATTTACATTATTTTACTAAGCCGTTATCAAAAGTCGATGTTTGATAAAAGATAAAGATATCGTACTTATCGATAAGATGTTATATCGTTTATCTCACAGTAATTGGGGATCGGTTGTATTTTTTGCATTCGTTGAATTTGGCAGTACTCTTCAAAATTGATTAAGTTGAACTCGTAGTATGGGAGTAAATAATAACAAAATGTTTTATCATAATGAAAAGTTAAAGGTATGCAAAAACATAATGAAAGTGCATTCTCTGCCACTATGCCTTTTTCCACACCTTGAACCAAACTCTTTTGTTCTCTGCTCCGACAAAACACATGTTGTCATGGAACAGTCAATAAATGCAAAATATTGTATGTGATTTATGTTGCTTTTTTACTCTGCTCAAAAAGTAAATAAACCACCAATACAAAATCATGAGAATAACAAATTTTACATTTCAAAAGTATAACATCAGAAGCATTGAAGAAGACTACACTTCAATACCTTTGAAAAATCATTGAATATTTGTCTGTTCATTGTGTAGGTTCCTTGTCGATTTAAAAGCCATTTAGAAGATAAACCTGAATATGAAGCAGTTCAGAGAAGTGTCTGATGAATATTAAATCTGTCTCTGTAATTAGGGGCTTCTTTAATATTTGAACATTAAATTTTATCGCAATGAATTTTCAATATATTTTACAATTAAAGATTTAAGCGGAAGCGAGTCCCTTTGTAACTTAACAAAAAACAAATACTAAACATAACACTGAATATTTTTCCCAAATTTAGCATCGATTTCGAGTAAAAGCAGTAAAGTTTATTTTGTTTTCTTTTCCCTTTAAATTAAAAATATAAAGAATATTAAAAAGTAACCTTCTAATTATTTAATCATTTTTAATTTTATATAAAAACAGTTTGAATAATGTTCAATATTCTGTTAAAAAACAACAACCTACTTCTTTTTTATATCCTAGGTATGTGATTTTTTTAAATGAGTGTTTTGAAGCTACTTTTTCATTCTACTGAAAAAGATATTGTTGATTTGTTTTCAAATAAATACTTAATGCTGTGTATAGGCATAACATTTTCTGCAGAGAAATGTCACTACGTGGAACTATTAATATTTCAATTGTTTCATGTTTTCACTTTCTTTCGAATTTCCATTTTAAATAGCTTGAGCACTTCTAGTATACGTACACAAATGTGTAAGAAAAATTTTGAAAATGTAAACTGCTCACAGATTGAAAGACTGAATATCTGTTTCCTCATCATAAAGCATAAAGTTATCCTCTAAATATGTATAATTAGGTGTTGCCTATTATTTATCAACTTTCTTTATGAGTCTTTGTACTGAAAATTTTTTTGTATTAAACTCAAAATGATTTAGGAACATTTTCTTCAATTTAGACAAAGAAATATGTAAAAATGAGGCTTCAAAACAGATGACTGTGGATTACATGATTATCGAACCCTTGGAATCTAGTACGGAAACGAAGGAAGATTTGATGTATCCAGAGTCAAATGACGGTTTGTTTCTATGAAACCCTGACTTTGAATTTGATTTTTACTGTTGTAAATTTAATTGTTTTCCTTTTATAATTTTATGCTGTAATAGTCCAAAATTTCCATTGTTTTACTGAGCGGTCATAAAAAGTCGATGTTTGATCGAAGATGAAGATATCGGACCTGCCGATAACATGTTATATCGCTTATATGTCACAGTAATTGGAAATCAGCTGTATTTTATTTTCATTCGTTGGAGTTCGGCAGAACTCTACAAAATTGATTAAGTTGAAATCGTAGTATGGAAGCAAATAAAAGCAGAATGTTTTATTATAATAAAAAGTTAAAGGCATGCCAAAACATAATGAATTTGCGTTTTCTGTTAATATCCCTTTTTTCAACCCTCCATCAAACATTTTGGTTCTTTGCTCCGACAAAACACGTTGCCATGGAACAGTCATTAAATGCATAATAGTGTATATAATTGGTGTTGTTTTTTTACACTGCTGAAAAAAAGTAAATATACCACCAATAAAAAAACACGAGCATGACATTTTAAAAGTATTTAAGAAGACTATTTTTTATACTTCTTAAACCTTGAAAAATCATTGAATATTTGTCTGTTCATTTTGTAGGTTCCGTGTCGATATTTAGTGGAGTCAAAGTGGACCATGATGTATGCACTTGTAAAATTCAGGAGACACAATTCGTGTCGAAAATAGGTCAAGGTACATGAATAAATATACATGTACAGACATAGAATACTCAGATAATTAAAGTAATAATTATTCAATTTATAATATTTTATTTCTTTACTGAGAAACAATAATTTTTTACTTACATTATATACAAGTGTTTTTGAACTGTGTTCAAAGTCCTGTTGAACCTAAAAATCCACTTTTTCAGCAAACACAAATGATGTTGCATGATATTTTAAAACTTTGCACCATGCTATTCTTTGAATTCTCCTATTCTTTTAAGTGTGCGAGGGGTGATCAAAAAGTTAGCAAACTCTCTTTATCTACAAAACCCCGATTCAGATTAGAAAAAAAAAATAGTGTACACATAGCCATAAACAGGTTTAATAAATAGCATATGCTGAATATAGTTTTTCTCGCTGTCACGTCACAATGTGTAAAATTACGTCACTATGTAGCTCACTTGTGACGAAAAATGTTTTTTTCAGTTCCACTCGTTCAATAACCGACTGTTTAATTTATGGTACATCTTAGAAATCCCTTTGAAGTAGAGAATAATAATTTGCACATAGTTTATTAAGACAAATGACTTCCTATTAATTCAATCAATGTATGGATTGATCGTTTTCGTGAAAGAAAGCAGATGGTTAAAAATGACACTTGTTATTTTGCCCAGTGAAAGCAAGTTTGAAAATAGATGTGTTTTAATTAAGCAATTTGCAATCAAGGACCAATTTACACTGTGAACAATTGTTGAAAACTTTGTTTACTTTTTCCTGTACTTTAAAAAAAATAACGGATATTAAATGAAACTTAAACTTATAAATTTAGATATAGTTGAAAAAGTTTTTAGTTTTATGGAAAAAAAATTCATAAAATTCAGTATTCTGTTCAAAAAACAAAAACACTTTTTAGTTCAACTGAGCCGAAGGCTCAAATGAGTTTTTCTTATCAAAATTTGTAAGTCGTCTGTCGTTATTGTTGTCGTGGTTGTCGTTGTTGTCGTTATTGTTGTTTACTTTTCACATCCTCATCTTCCTCCCAAGAACCTGTCTGTAAACTTTTCATATTTTCGACTTCTTCTCAAGAACCACTGGGCCAATTTGAACCAATCTTGCCACAAAGTTTCCTTGGGTGAAGGGGATATAAGTTTGTTCAAATGAAGGACCAAGCCCTCTTCAAAGATGAGATAATTATGAATAAGTGAAAAATTAATGGCATTAAAAAATCTTCTTCTCAAGAACTACTGGACCATGAAAGATAACACTCATGTAGAATCATCATCAGGTAGTGTAGATTCAATTTCGTTCAAATCATGACCCCCGGGGGAAGGGTTGGTGCACAATGGCCGACCAAAATTTTACATAGAATTATATAGGGTAACTCTTTAAAAATCTTCTCAAGAACTTCTGTGCCAGGAAAGATGAGATTTATATGGAAGCATCTCAAATTGTGTAGACTCAAGTTTGTTCAAATCATGACCCCTCAATATAGGGCGGGGCCACAAGAGCCACAACTTTTACATAGAAATTATAGGATATTCTTTAAAAATCTTCTTAAGAATAGCAAAGCCATGATTGTTCAAATTTATATGGAAGCATCCTCAGGGAGTTAAGATTGAAGTTTGTGCAAATTATGACCCCCTCGGGTTAGTTGGGGGGGGGGGAGGTACAATGGCTGAACAAAGTTATATTAATATATCTATTGGAAAATTCTTTAAAATTCTTTTTCTCTGGAAAACAGAGACATTATTGATCATATTTTTTATGAACGCATATTCAGGTAGTGTAGATTCAAGATTTTTATATCATGACCCCCATGGTTAGGGCGTGGCCGACCAAAGTTTTACATGGAAATATATAGGACAATTCTTTAAAAATCTTCTTCACAAGAACTACAAAGTCATGATTGGTCATATTTATATGGAAGCATCCTCAGGTGGTGTAGATTCAAATTTGTCCAAATCATGATCCCTGGGGGTAGGACGGGGCCACATTGGCCGGCCAAAGTTCTACTTCGAAATATATTGGAAAATTCTTTAAGAATCTTCTCAAGAATCGCAAAGCCATGATTGGTCATACGTGTATTTATATGGAAGCATTCTCGGGTGGTGTAGATTCAAGTTTGTGCAAATCTTACCTTCTCACCTTTAAGGAATGGCTGAGACTACTTTTGGGCTTAAACCTTTCAATAATGAGCTTATTTCAGCTTTGTTTGCTAGCCACAGTGCTCAGTTGAGCGATGTGGACCATGGGCCTCTTGTTGGTTTTAAAATAAAAGAAATTCTAGGAATATTCCTAACTTGTTTAATAGATTTCGAGCTTGACAAGAAATTGTGTTTGGATGTTGAGTAGATGAGGTAACTCAAACTGTTTAGGTACTCTTTGGAAAATAGTAAGAAAATGAAAGCTAAATAACATATTTTATTATAATGCTTCTAACTTAGAAGATTTTGTTGCTCAATGACTTAATAATATTTGCTGAAAAATCACTCAAAATTTATATCAATTTACAATATTTTGATATGAAATTTTGAAGACCATATACATGTAAGTGAAGAATCTTTTATATTATGTGTGGCATTTTGCCCGGTTATGTCAACAAATATTTTTTCTGTGCAATAAGTGAAATGTCTTTTAAAATCATTTTCTCAAGAACCACTGGACTAAGAAGTTGACACTCATGTGAAATTATCCTCAGGTAGTGAAGATTTTAGTTTGTTCAAATTACGACCCCCGGGGGTAGGGTGGGGTCACGATGGCCCATCAAAGTTTTACATAGGACTAGATAGGAAACTTTTTTAAAATCGTCCTCTCAAATACTTTAAAGCCATCATGATTAGTGATATTTATGTGGAATCTCCTCATGTAATGTAGGTTCTAGTTTGTTCAAATCATAACCCCCAGGTATAGGGCGGGCCACAATTGGGATCCAAGTTTTACATTAAAAAATATTTTTAAAAATCTTCTTTTTAAGAATAGCAAAATCATTATTAGTTATACTAGCATTTAGATGAAAGCATTTACGGGAAGTGTAGAATTAAATTTGTTCAAATCGTTATCACCAAGGGTAGGGTGGGGTCACAATGGTTGATCAAAGTTTTACATAGAAAAATAAAGGGAAAATTCTCAAGAACAGAAAAGCAATGTTTAGTCAAAATGACAGGTAAGCATCCTCATGTATTGAAAATTTAAATTTATTCAAATCATGGCACTTGGGATAGGGAGGAAAAATATGGGGTATCAAATTCAAATTATTATGAAGTTATATATAGGAAGAAAATTTTTTAAAAAAAAATCTTTTTATCAAGAGCAGCAAAGTCATATGCTGTATTAAATATGAAATTATTCTCAAGTAGTATTAAAATTCAAGCCCCCCCCACTCTCCCCCTTCAGTAAACTTTTCAGTACTAATTTTTTTTCTAGCTGATTTGCTCAGGTGAGCGATTAAGCCCCCTGTCCTCTTGTATGGACAGCAGTGTGCGATTTCATGAATATGCTAAGAAATCATCTATGAATACATTACATGGTCATTTAGTGTTCAGTGCATATTCATAAATATGGGAACAACTCCATACCCAGTGACCAGGTGATTGCACTTAATTTTGAATACGTCAGCTTATGTATATATTCATTATTCTAAACTTGATCTCTATTTATTTTTTGCATGCAATAAGTTATAACCTGAACATGTAATATTTTTGTCACCCTTTCTTTTTCCCCTTAGCTCACGTCTACCATCCTCCTCCTCCTCAAAATAACACGTACATGTATATGTTGATTCTAATTTATGCACATAATTCTCTTTCTGTCATAAATATTTACAATTTTCACTGGTTTGACAATAACGTCAGTCTTAAAGTCTCAGACTAATCCTTTTATTGAGACAAATAATTAATCATGTTAATTAACCTAATTTGATAAAAATTCTTGGTAAAAAATTACAAAAGTTTATTTGAGATTTCTGGATACCTGAATGTATTTTTAGTTGTCGAGCTTTTGGTGGGTAGGTAGGTATCTCAGACATTTCATTGTTTAACATGTGTTTCCAACTTAATGTACTTTTGAGAGAAGCACTGACTTTTACAATTCAACTTGTTGACAGTTTACTTTGACATTAAAACCTGTATTTTGTACGGCGGTACAGACTTGATAATAGATAAAATAACCTTTCTAGTGGTCATAGTTTCCGTGTTGGGCTGGGCCACAATGGATACTCAAACTTTTGCATATGAATACTGTAAAATCACATATTTTCATGTGGTCTAATTTTCGTGGTTTGAGGAAAAATTCTTGGTTTGTTGGGATTTTAATTGTTGATTAGTTATGTATTTTACATTTCAGGGTGGACATGAATTCATGGTATCTTCTCACGTCGAAAAAAATGAAAATTAAACCCCCTTTAAAATTTGTGATTTCACAGTTTAAAAAGAAATCTTCTTATAAAGCACAAGAATGCCATGATTGGATATATGTATATGGAAGTATCCTCATGTAGTTTTTAATCAAGTTTGTTAAAATCATGACCCATTGGTAGGACGGGTCTATAATAAACTATCAAAGTTTTTTTTTGAATATTTAGGAAAAGTCTTCTTTTATAAAATGGGAGAGTGATGTTTATTTATATTGACATGGAAGCACCATTAAGTAGTGTAGTTTCACATTTGTTCAAATCAATGGCTAGGGAGTAGCCACAATTTGGATTTAATTTTTGCAAAGGAATATGGAAGAAAAAATCTCCTGTTGAAGAACAGGAAACCATTTTTATTTATAAGGAAGCATTCTCAGATTTAAAATTCAAGTCTTACTTTTCAAAAAGGAACATATTTTATGCTTTTTTCAAGCCATTGTGCTCAGGTGAGCAATGCATCCCATAGGCCTCTTGTTATGCATAAATCAGATGACCAGGTTCATTTTCAATTTTTGTAACAGGTACTACCTTTATATTGGTTCATTTAATTATGAGTGAGTGTGACATTATTTCTTTTTTTTTTTTTATATAAAATCATATCTTTTAGTATTTTTTACAGGCATTGTTAACCACAGAAATGAAGATCACCAACGTAATATTATTAAAGATTCCCATGCTTTAAAATGTTTCATTCGTATAAATGACGATGGACTTCCAAATGACTTTTCCGTGCAAGAACAAGTAGAGATCCTTGTAAGACGTGATGGTGACCATGAAATGGATGATAGAGATTCTGTGGAAAAGTGTTCTCGTGAAGGTAATTTGAAAATTCCATAACTACAAAGTGCATGTAGCTTCTACCTTCTTGAATCAGAATTAACTTAATTCTTAGTCTGCCAAAAAATTTTGGGAGTCCTTAAGAGATTTAATTAGCATCAAAGAATTAAATAGCTTACCTATTATACGGAGGCCCAGTATTTTCCATAATTTGATATACAGATTTTCCAAAATATTAAAAATATGTGCATGTACTAGAAGATTGGTCGTTAAGAGATGAACATGGTATTATTTTGAATACATTTCATATGCTGGAAAATGCTCTTTAAAATCCTTATTTTGATCAAATTCAATCAAAAGCGTAAAAATAATTATAAAAATAATTGATCTTCAGTAATAAGGTAAGGGCAATAGTAAAGTAATAGTAAAATTAATTAAGTCAAATGTCACATGGTCAGTAAGAAATAGCTTCTTATGGTATTCTTTGAAAATATAAAGAAATGTCGTTGTTCATCATAAAAAAGAAACCAGATGTGTTTTTGAAACACTATGCCCCCGACGGCAACAAAGTTTGAAACAGCTTATTTTAGTACATCGATCACAGTCAAGGTCACAACAGAGAAGGGAAAAAGGATATGGAAATAACGAACAGTATTCAATCTCAAGTTCCATAAGACAATATCAAATAAGAGCAGAGCAAACACGGACACCCGAAACATCAGAGGTAGGATCAGGTGCCAAGAAGGAGTAAGCATCCCCTACCGACCTGTCACACCCGCCGTGTGCTCTTTGTCATGATCAGGAAATAACGGAAAAATCGTCGTCAATTCAGTGTATAAATACATGTTATGGACTTACTATTGGTATGAAAAAATGTCAATCAGCATTTGACTCAATGATAAACTGTATTTCCTGACAAGGTCATTGTATCGACCATAGAACAAAATGATGACGTTAAAAGAGAATGCTGATATTCTAGTTTCGTCAACTTGCTTGTCAATAATTTACCTCGTTTAAGAAATCGTTCATATGTAGAACATGCTCTTGCATATCTAATCAACTGAGATATATATATATACCCCGTATGCAGGTGATGAATGTATATTGCTGCATAAGTTAGGGAAGTTGACGATAGAGTTAAAATCATCACGTTTGTAATATAGCTTGGTTGTTTGATTACCATTAGTGTCTTTTTCAGGCAAAATATCCAAGTATGAAACTGAAGTGTTGGACTCTGTGGTATCTATTAACTCAAGCTCACCAGGATATATCGTGTCCACGTAGGAATGGAAATTATCATTATTAATTGAGAATACGTCGTCGATATATCTAAATGTCGAGTTGAAGGCCACAGCAAGTGTTTTCTTCTTTTCACACATAGGATTTTGCATAAATTTTGATTCATATGAATATAAAAATAAATCTGCTAATAACGGAGTGCAATTTGTACCCATGGGAATTCCAACAAATTATTGGAATACCTGGTTTCTAAAAGCCACATAGATGTTGTCAGTCAGAAATTCAAGCATCTTCTTGATGTCAACTTCAGAGTTCTTATGTGTGCAATCAAAATCTGTTTCAACAAAATAATTTTGCAAATGACAAAGGACGATGTAAGTAAATTTACGAGTTCCATTTTTATTAAAGAAGCAGCTGTCACTGATATCAAAAAGCCTAAATTTTAATTTGTCGTAAATTTAAGGAACTTAATTAGCGTATACTAAATACGAAGTTTCTATATGTTATGGTTCAAAATTTATTGTGGAAGTTTAAAAAGGCTATTTTAAGCATGAAGGTTACAGTAAAGGTCACATGGTCATTGAACTTGATGTCATTTGAAAAAATAAGTGTTAACTAGTGAAAGAAATAGTGGAGTATGCATACCAAATATGAATTAAGTATCTATTCTTGATCAAAAATTATGGTGAAGGTTGAAGTTAACAGTCAAACAGACAGGACAAAGCAATACACACCCCAATCTTTCGATCTGGGCACATAAAAATATGCATAGAAACAATATAAATATGTCACTGTAACAATGTCCATAACATTATGCCCATCACAAATACCCAATTGCCAATCTGAGTATTATATATTAGCTTAATTAGGCCAATTTGTTTGAAATTTCCAACATATATGGATTCAATTTTCTTTCAGGTATTCAAATTCATGCAATCAATTAATTACATTTGTGCATGCATTTAATTGATAGTATACATTCAATTTTTTTCCTGCAACATTAGAATAGACGTACAATTCTGGTAAACATGGATATCAAGCATTATATAGTTGAAATACATATACTTTTCCCTATATTATCCCGATAGAATCCTCCATCACATAAAAAGTATGGTTTTGACTCAGCAAGTCTGATGTGTATACCATGAAAGCAAAGAAGACATTTTTATAATATTTTCAAAGGGCCATACCATAGAAACTGTTGAAATTATTTTTTTCTAGCTTATTCCCAATTATTGGGTCTTACTACACATCTTGTCTAATACCATTTCTCATAATTAACAATACCAATTTACTTGATACAAGTCAATAATGAAGCAAAACATGCATGCCTTTGAATTCTCTCCAACTTTATCTAAAAAGAGGAGGTGAATGACTGAGCATGCTCAAGAAATGCCTGATGCCTAATCCTAGATGTTGCCAGAAAGTTTTTTCTTGTAGTTTAACCAGAATATCAACAGACGTGGTTGCATGTAGCGGTGATATTTCACTAACCCCAAAATAGTTTCTGATGATAAAATGTGTAACTGCAATGTTACTGCAATAAAGCAGCAATATTGCAAAATAATTGAACTTTCGTATGGTATATCTTGCATCAGTCTCTGTCGGTTCTTCTTACGAGTCTCTGCTACACTTAATAACATTTGGAGGTTTGCCTGTTTAAGGCAACTTTTCATAATTTTTCTAGGAAATAAACCTTTTTCATAAAGAAAGAATTGTCGACTTTGTTAAGTTCACGAACCTCTCAATATCACAGTTTCTATACCCCGTTTAAATCAGAATCAGCTACCAGTTGTTTAACCTCATTGCTCATATCGTTTGACTTGCGTCCAATGTTGAATGTCGTCGATAGATAAAAATATCACACGAAAACATTGATATGTTATCAGTTTAGGTCATTGGTCTTGTGAGAAGAATACGGGAGATAACTCTTAATTAATCAAACATCAACGAATACTAGGGTAAGATTAATCTTTAATTGAATATTAAAATAAATTCCGCCGTTTTTTTCTTGCAAATACTTTTGCAGCAGAGCTGTTTAAACTCTAATGACCTAATGTCCGACAATATGAGAACAAAATGGGCTAATGGCTACTTTGCGGTAAAACCATGGAAACAACCTACCTGTTGTTTAGAGTGATCTTTTATTCAGATTTTTAAAAATGTATTCACCATTTCATCAAAAACCTATAAACGCCCAGTAGTGCATATCAAAACATAAAGAAAGAAAAACGAAATTATAAAATAAAGAAAAACAAATTTATAAAATAAAGAAAAACAAAATTAATTAAGAAAGGAAAAGGAAATTAATTTTGTTCTCATATTGTCGGACAGAAAAAAAAATATTAAATAAAGAAAAACGAAATAATGAAATAAGGAAACACAAAATTATTGAATAAAAAAAAACGAAATTATTAGATAAAGAAAAACAAAATTATTAGATAAAGAAAAACGAAATTTTAAAATGGAAGACTGAAACTAAAATACGAAATTTATACATGTGCATGAGAAGGGTCTAATCAAATTAATCATTACATTAAGCGCGCGTGTTCTAAAGCATCACATAGTAACTATTAGTAGACATTTTTTTTTTCGACCTTACAAACTTGTAGGGAGAATGAAATATAAAAAAAAAACTACTAATAAATATCAATTTGACAAAAGTAGAAAAAAAACGTGCACACGGCCTAAAACTAACATTTCTGTAAACGATTCATAAACTGTTCAATTTTGTTTACGGGAAATTGTTGATGTGTCGTATCCCTTCATCATCAATGCTGTAGACTGTAAGTCTTGATTTAAAGTAGATAGCTGTTTCTGCTTGTATAAAATTAATTCTATCTGTGTGCCCATCAATCTTAGATTGTTAAAAATAAAAAAGAAAAATGATGTGATGAACTTGTGGGATTTATACATGTAATGTGCAAATGTGTGTATCGTTCGTTCACAAATATCACCGACTTATAAATACACAGATTGAGAGTTTGTCATTTAGAGTATGTGAGAACAAGTACTATATAGTAGTCCGTATCATTGACTTATAAATAGTGCAGATTGAGAATTTGACATTATTAATATCTGAGAATAAGAACTAGTAGATGGTACATCACTTCTCATCATGCTTCAAATCGATAAAAAGACCAAAAAAATCAAAAGTGTTTTGCTTTATTTCTAATATTGTAAGCAATCATTCAAATCAAATTTGACTGATTTTAATATCTGACTTGTTCTTGTTATACATTTTTATAAAATCAAACAAACCCTCAAATTGCGATGCAGATGTTGTGCAATATTTATAATGAGCCATTGGAATTTCCTAAATGTAAAAAAAATCAACAGTACATGTTATAAACAAAGGAATTTTAACATTCATGATTATCTAAAATTTTTGTAAAATTTATTCGGATAATCTCATCAATGTGTCATGTTCAGATTCATTATTTGCTGATTATTAGTACCTTTCCGGCAGAGGGTTTAAGAAAGCTAATGTTATCCGATTGTTGACGTCAACATCTCACCGAATTATCAGACTGGTCAAAGTTCACAATTATCATGTTTATGTAAGATAAAACATAAATCTAAGCATATAACTATAAGATACCAAATGTTTAATTCTCCCCTATTCATATATTTTAATGGTAACACATTCGATATGGGAGTAGGTGAGAGTAAAGGCAAACAACACACGTTTTAACTGTCAAAAAAACAATCAGGTCTATCACACGCATGCGCTAATGATAAATGAATGCAGGCCCTTACAATGCACATCTTTAAATTCCGTATTTTAGTTTAAGTTTTCTACTTTAAAAACGAAATTAATATATAAAGGAAAACGAAATAAATATATAAAGAAAAACGGCGTTATTAAAATAAGAAAATGAAATTATCATATAAAGAAAAACGAAATTAATATATAAAGAAAAACGAAATTATTCAAATAAAGAACAACCTCATGATTTATTTAATTATTTCGTTTTTATTTATTTAATAACTTCGTTTTTCTTTATATATCAGTTTTTGTTTTCTTTTTTTTTTTTTAAATAATTTCGTTTCTCATTATTTGTTTTTAGTTTGAACTATTGACCTTCAGTAAGAAACATACGATTTATTATTTGACTAATGTAAAGTTGAATATCATATTTTGGTGCTATGTTCTTCGACTTTGATCGTATGATTGTCAAATTTAAAAATCTATTTCAAATTACTATTATTATTCCAAAGTCTATAAAAATTTATCATCAGTTATAAATAATGTAGGTTTTGAAAAGTACGCTTGAAATGTACAGAGCGAAATTTTTATTCTCTGTGGTATAAAAAAACATCGACAATTGCCAACCCATCAGAGATATCATAATGCGCCCTAAGCAAAGGTTTTGAAGTCTTTTCTCTATTATTTTGTTGCAACATAAGGAGTGTTATGAAACTTATGAATTTGAAATGACCTTTCTTAACATCCTTTATAATAGTTTATAACATGAAATTCAATTCGTAAAATGGTTAATTTTGGATACTTTGAATACTATTTTCCATTTGTAACCTATGTAAGAGTTGATTTCAAAAACATGTTTACTAGCTAGTAGTATAATATATTTAAGACACATATTGATTCACAAGTTGAGCAATTTAAAGAAGACTTGGCATTTTTCTTTTCTTGAAATAATGAGTACCTTTTCCCCCGAATTTTGCACATCAGTAATGTCTAGATATGATCATTTTTATCCAAATGAGAGTACCGAAAAACACTATGGAAATATATATGTTTTATATGGAAAAAGTTCAGATTATCAAACTTGTCCCTGTATTTAACTTCTCCCGTAAGTGACAATTAAATATTTTTCCAATACATGTATATTTTTCATGTATCAATTCTTGCGTTATCCTGTTTTTAAAACCTTCATATCTGTTTTTCGATATCATTTAATATAATAGTTATGTAATTGAAAAATTACAAAATATAATAATAAATAGAAACATTATAGTAATTAAAACGAAATTAGAGCAAAGCAATTGGAGAAAAAAAATAACAGTATAATCTTATTTTGTTCTTTTCTCCCAATTTGCAGATAGATGATTGCATAAATTATACATAATAGAGATATATATGAAATAAAACTGTATATTGCAATAAGGCTTTTAAACAGTTTCGACCTAAAAGAATTTTAGCCCAGCTACTCCTTGTAAAAAAGAGTTTGCAATTGATGTGATTCTATCAGAGTTGATTTTATTTCTGTTGGGGATGATATTATCATTGGGTAAAAATTGCGCTCCGTTATTAGCAGACTAATTTTTATATTCATATGAAGTGGAATTTATGCAAAATCTTTTTTGTGAAAAGAAGACAACACTTGCTGTGGCCTTCAACTCGACATTTAGATATATCGACGATGTATTGTCAATTAATAATGATAATTTCCATTCCTACGTCCACGCGATATATACTGGTGAGCTTGAGATAAAAGATACCACAGAGTCCGACACTTCTGCTTCATACTTGGATATTTTACTTGAAAAAGACACTAATGGTAATCTAACAACCAAGCTATATGATAAACGTGATGAATTTAACTTTTCTATCGTCAACTTCCCTTACTTTTGCAGCAACATACCTGCATACGGAGTATTTATATCTCAGTTGATTCGATACGCAAGAGCATGTTCTACGCATGAACATTTTCTTATACGAGGTAAATTATTGACAAGCAAGTTGATGTAACAAGAATATCAACAGTCTCGTTTAAAGTCATCATTTCGTAAATTCTATGGTCGATACAATGACTTTGTCAGCAAATTCACGGATTTTTCCCGTTATTTCCTGATTATGACAACGAGCACACGGCGGGTGGGACCGGTCGGCAGGGGACGTTCACTCCTCCATGGCAACTGATTCCTTCTCTGATGTTTCGGAGGTCCGTGTTTGCTCTGCTCTTATTTTGTATATTCGTTAAATGGACGTTGAGATTGAATAATGTTCGTTATTTCCATATCCTTCTGTTGGGGATGATATTATCAATATATTGGTAATCTTCAAAACTGTAAAATGGAATTTGCAAAATGCAAAAAAGGAAAAAAAATGTATTAAAAAAACTTCTCAGAAAATACTAGAAGTTTTCTAAATAATTCATCCAAAAAAGTAAAATGGTTTGAAAGGGTTACTGTACTTAACATTGTGTAGTGAGTCTTTTACCAGTAGCTTCTGTTGCTTTTAAGTCTTAAAACATTTGAATTTTTATATATTAACTTCAATGGACTGTCAAATAGACACCAAATACAAACGCTAAAAATAATATAACACTGTTATACAATAAATAATTCCATGATCTCTGCCCTTATTATTTAAATCCGATTCATAGAAAAAAATGCTTTTAACGGAAATAATTAATATTTGGTCCAGCGTAGATTTTTTAACCTATTTCGGGTATGCTAAATCCGAAAAATATTCTGGCCTTCATGAAAATTGTGTTCAAAAGGTTAAAATGGCAATTCAAAATGGCAAACAATCAATGTTTTTTTAATTTCTCTTTATTTCGTTCAAAACGCAGAATATTTCACTGAGCGTAATGCAACTTTAAAAAGGATAATACAATGCTAACATTATAACTAACTTAAAATTTAAAATTTTGGTGGTTTCTACATTTGATTTGAATTTTCTCTGATTTATTTGTCTATTGCTTCTATATTCTGCTTTGTTCAAGGATTTTACATTCACATATATACAAACATATATACAAACACTGGAGATTTGTATTTTGTTTACTTCATCTCACTATTCTACAGTTGAATTAAGGTGCAGATGTAAGTTATAAGCTAAAATGCCGATTCAAAATGGAAATTATTTCCCAATGAATAGGAGAAAGGATTTGAATATCTTACTGAACGTAGTACAACTGTTAAAATGACAATAGATCACTAATATTATCACTTTAATCCGGAAAAGGTCGAAAGAAATGCTGTTCAAATGTTCAAATAATGTTGGAGGAAATTGTTGTTAATGACTTATGTTTTTTTTAAGACACGGGTCTTTGTTTCATTATTTTTGACGACAATTCTGAAGACAATTTACCTATTACCCGTCTCACCATATGCTTCTTTGTGTAAATAATTAATATCATCATATAATAATTGCTGTTTAGAATAAAATATGCCAATTAAGATGCATCAAGGGCAGTATTCCCCGAGCATAAAGGCAAGTGAACATTGTTGTTCGAGGGTTGCTAAATCATATCAGTTGTTGGAAATTCTTAATCTGTTTTTTATCTAGTGTGATTCTAGATGGTAAACTTTTAGAATTTTCTTGCTAGTACATGTAGAATGACCTTTCAACCCCGAAAGACAATAAATGTACATGATCACAAAATAGGAAGCTATTTTGTCTTTAAAATCAGAAATATTTTTTGTCCATTTTGCATAAGGTTTTGGTAAACAAAATATACTTTTAATGTTTGAACATAAAGGTGTAGTTCCTTGAGTGTTGAAAAGACCAAAATTCCGATGACTGATTGATACATATAGCATTTAAGGCTGGAATAGAAGATAGGGGTAATCCTTAGCTCTTACAACTGCTAAATTCTGTTAGTACAAAGGGTTCGACGAAATTGGACAAGATTTGTTTTCAGTGTTATTCGATGGTTTGCTGAGGGATGTTGAAGTGGAGGTGCGCATTGATAATGACAGCGATTCAGGAGTGAATGTAGCTGGAAAGGGGATCAAAGGCTTTGGAACACGGTCAATTATGAGTAAAAAAATTGGAAGCTCTCAAGTCTAGTATGTTTTAACTTTTTCCAGAAATAATTAAAACGTTGTTCATTAAAATAAAATTATCAATATAACTGGCTAAACTCAGAAGAAACTGACATTAAGAGAAATTCGTCTGCCTTTTAACTTTGCTAAACCTTGGAAAATAATACCCTGCCTCCTCCCATTTACCATTATGAAAGACATTGTCACTGCTTGCTGTGTGTAGAAGGGATGAGGGGAAGGGGTGATTGAATTGTTGAAGATGGACTTGAATTCAGAAGTTTTGCAAAGAAAGTCCAAAACTCAGTGACCGAGGTATTTTTCCTGTGCGTAACAACGCAGTTGGATATACTCTGAGAGAAAAAAATAAATTTTGAAGAAAAGAAAATATACAGGACTTTTCAATGACCAATATTAGTTTAATCGCAGCCATTGTGAGATCTTTTCATTCCCCAAAACGCATGAAAACAATCAAAGGAAGATTTTATAATGTTAGATATGCCATGGGAAATGAAATTTCTTAGTGTCTGTGGGGTATCCCTAGCGAGAAGTATGCTGAGGATTTCTGTTCATTGATTCAAAGACTTAAGACACATGAAACTGGTAACAGGGAATGCCTTTAGGGATTGAAACTATTAAAAATATTTACTGTAGAAGCACAAATTTTCGTGGGTATAAAATTTCGTTGTTTTGCCATCAAAAATAATTTCGTGTGCATTTAATTTCATTGTTTTAAAACTAATCCTATTCAATATATAGTCAGATAAAATTTCGTGTGGGATTTAATTTCGTTGAATTTTGTTAACAACGAAATAAACGAAATTTAATCCCCCACGAATATTTGTGCTTTTACAGTATTACGTACTTTTCTTACTTTTAGATGACATGTTGCATTATTTATTGAACGAACTTCGTATACGGTGTCCCCTTACGCGCATGAAAAATAATTTGGAAATTACGCTTTCAATTCTTTTTATATGCATGCAAAGCCAGAACAATGCCAAGCAGTATGTGAGATTAAGATACGGCATATGTAGTGGTAGTATTACTTTACTAAGACCAAACAGACGGGATTGATGTTTTTGGTTGTTTGCTGCAACTTATGCATGGGCCATTGCGGAGATTTTAAGAAAAATAATTGAATTGTAAATTACAGCTGTACCATCATTCAGTTGTAGAATAGTGAGATGCGGAGAGAAAAAAAAATGTCAAAAGTTAATCTAAATAATAAAAGTAATTTAACAAAGATCCGTGTCATAAAAATCTTAAGTCATTAACAACAATTCCCTCGAACTTTAATTGAACATTTGAAAATTATTTCATTAATGTTAATTAAAAACTTTAATAAATTTATTTTCTGCAAAACGCCTCGGAATTAAGCAGAGTCAGTATTCTCCGAAATTCGAGTGTTCGTCATTTTAAATCGCCATTTTGAGCTTATTAACACATTTAAAATTTAAACGATCAATTTTTCCAAATTAAAGTGAAAATATTAGACTAAGTGCTGTTTGTCATTTTCATAGTTGAACAACGCTCATTAAGATATTCACAAATTATCTTTATTCATATTTAAACGTTAAGAACTAATTAAAAAAAAATGAATATCCGCCATTTTTAATCGCCATTTTAGCTTTTTACTTACAGCTGCACATTGATTCAGTTGTAGAATAGTGAGATGCAGAGGAAAAATACAAATGTACAGTGTATTAATATTTACAAATAAAAAATCCTTGAACATAACAGAATATAAAAATAATAGACAAATTAATCAGAGAAAATTCGGATTAAATACAGAAATGACTAAATTACTGAGTTAAAGTTATAATGTTTGCATATTATTATCATTTTTATAGTTGCATTTCACTCAATGAAATATTCACACATGTCCACTTTTTTGAATCGCAATTTTGACCTTTTTAACGCAATTTTCATGAAGCCAGCATTTTTTTCGGATTCAGCATACTCGAAATAGGTTGAAAATCTATGCTGGACCAGATAATAATTATTTGCCCTTAGAAGTTATTTCTAGCCTTCTTTTAAAAAAAAATCTGGACCAGACTATATGGGTTTTGATATTCAAATAATTCAAACATATATGCCCTGATTGAACATAACATATGTACATATGTACAGACTCTGAGACGTGCTACTACCCCCAAAAAGCGTGTGACTTTCGTGCGCTTTCCGTTTTTGTGCAAACCGTGTAGCGTTTCGTGTAAACAGTGCAGCGTTTCGTGCAAACCGTGTTGCGTTTCGTGTAAATCTGCAGCGTTTCGTGTAAGCTCCAAAACGTTTCGTGCAAACCGTGTAGCAAGCATGTGAGAAGAGTTGGGAAACGTGCGACTTTCGCGTAGGAACCGTGTGAGAAACTTGTGACTTTCGTGCAAGAATCGTGTAGGATTCGTTTGGAAGTCACTTCATTTTAAATATGGCTATCGATGTGTCAGGATGTCAAATTGTATTAATATTTAATCATTGAATTAGTTATGCTTGTGATATTTTAGGAGTAAAAACCAAAAAAAAAATTGAACAAAATTAAATTTCACGGTAATATATAATATATATTTGTTTGTTTTCTCTTCCTTCTAAAGAAAATGTTTTCAAAATTAATCAACTACTTTGTACAAGGGCATTGAATTACTTATACTAATAACGCAATCATGGCTTCTTAAAAAAAATTTCTCAAAGAAAGAAAGAAAACCGGTATAATTATTTTTAATTTACAGCAAAAACATTTCAAGACTCCGCTCCTGTCTTTACATTTAAAGTACGTGAAAGGAAGGGGGTGGTAAATTAAATTGCTTATACAGTCTTTTCAGTTTTTGTTCTAACTTTCAATCTAAGCGTTCGTGTAAATTGTGAAGCGTTTCGTGTAAACCGAGTAGCTTTTCGTGTAAACCGTGCAGCCTTTCGTGCAATCCGTGAATTGTTCGTTTACCGATCGTGCAGTGAGCATGTGGGGTAGTAGCACGTCTCAGGGTCTGTATTAGAGGGGGAGCTTAATCGTAACAATGGATCAGAATAAGACTGGATGATAACAATGACATGTATTATTAATATTACAAAATATGCTATCAATAAGTCAGTGACGGAATTAAGTATTCATAAATTTACCTGAGAAAATATATCACAGGGATAATTATATTATCCCGCTTCTCACAAATGTGTAGATTACTGATTGGATAAAAGCTCATCACATGACGCCCTGAAATTTCCAATAAAAGAAACGGTTTGCGTAGGTGGTGTAATTACTTAAATTTCTTTTAATTTTATATTGATTTTTATTTACTTTAAGCTTGATATTTTGATCAGATGCACAATGTTTAAAAAACTATATATTTCAGAAGATCCTTAGCAAGATGAATTCGCAACACAGTCAGTTAGTGTCCTAATACGGAGTCATACAGTGTATGAAATGGAAATCTGTATTGGGACTCGGCTTCGCCTCGCCATATACGGATTTCCATATCACACCCTGTATGATTCCGTATTAGGCCAATTATTGTGTAATTAATAATAATCAACGTTTCTTAACAATATTTTTTCATGCATGATGATTTCCATTCTTTATATTCTTAGAGACTCATAAGTTTCCTTAAACACATCTGTCTTATGCAAAATCTTTGTGTTCCATTTTATACTTTAATAAAGGTGCTTTATTAAAAAAAAATAAATTTTTCCTACATTACTTGTACCTTACAGAAAGGAAATGCACAATTGCACGAAAATTAAACAAAATGATCATTAAATTATTAGGAGCTAAAAATTGTATATCTCAACACCGTTTTAGGGGAAAATATTGGGAGTATATCGCGGGTTAAGTACATAAAAATCAGTATTTGTTCAGCATTTTATAACATTTAAATAATTTTTCATAATAATAATAAAATATATAATAATATATAATAATATATAATATTGATATAATATATAATAATAAAATATATAATAATAATAAAAAAATAATAATAATTTAAATAATTAAATAATTTTGGAATATGTTACCTCCAAATTCAATCTTCTTTGAGATCAAAATAATAGGCTATACACCAGTAAAAAAAATGATAGATTTTTGACATGACCACAAAATAATATAGCCTACATTGCCATACAATTAAGATATAAGAGGAGGCATTTCTGTTTGGCTCAAAATCACCCATTCTTTGCATATTTTGGTTTTTTTAAGAAGGATTATTGATGATTAAGAACAACATACCAATGCACCTCTCTACAATTATGAATACTGAGGGTTATTTATGATATGGAGTAGTGGATCGATGCACACAAGTCTGTTCAAACAGAAACCCTTGTTCAGGGCTTAGAGAATTCGGAGATTCTTTTACGAGTAAAAACACATTTTTTTTATATTGCCTGAACTTGTTCTGTCACGCGTAAATATAATTTTCAGAAGTAAACGATTTTGCTGAACTTTTTTTTTTTGAATTCAAAACTTGTCCGCCGTCTGTCGGCATCGTTATAAACTTTTTACATTTCATCTTTTCATATTCTTCTCCAGAACTTATTTTAATTTCAATTTGGCACAGAGTATCCTTGGTTAAAAAAGAGTTCTAGTTTGTTCAAATGAAAGGTCACACATTCTTCCAAGGAAAATAATTATAAATTAGTGAAAAATCAATGACATCTATTACTTTTATTTTTAAATAAAACCACTGGGCCAGGAAAAATGGATCTCATGTGGAAGCATCCTCAGTTAGAGTGAAATCATGCATGTTATTTGGGTTCACGTATCAGTGCTACACATCATTGAACATGCTCCTCAATAAACAATGACCCTAATTTCAATCTATGTAAAAATGTAAAACATAAAAATGATAAATAAAATGTGTATAATTTTTTTTAAAGATGAATTAATGTTGAACATAATCGTAGGATTCTATACTGGTCACAAATACAATTTATAAATAAAACAATAATTTTAAATTTACATGTCAGTAAAGAATTATCAATACTAAATAAAATTATTTGGCTAAATAAGCATCAGATTTTTCAAAAGCCATAATACTTTTT